ACAATTATATGGACGTCGGGTCCGCGCTAAAAAGTGTCCGCACTTGTAAGGCGCTAAAATCGTATACAGAGCGCCAAACTCCGCTTTAGTCTTCATTTGTTCGACTGACAGCGCGATATTGCGATGACATTACAATTTAAATTTCGAATAGGTTGACTTGGGACATTTTTTTCGTGGTTTTTGTATTAGACCCGTCGTCCATTTATTTGTAAGTCAATGGTTGTTCCAATAAATCTATAAGAATGATTTTTAGAAAAATATTTTGATTTACTATGATACTGGCAGGGCACGCCATGGCCACGTCGCCAGCTACGCAGCCAAAAATGGATATTGAAATGTATGGCGGCTACCTCACTTAGCTACCGATTGGCGACGTCGCCAATTTGGAAGCGTAGCCACTACCGACGCTCCTTGTGTGGAATTCGGCGACTCTGGCGCGCTGGCGACGGCGACGCGACGTAGCCAACAAAATGTACGCGTGTAAACCGCGCTTCCCTTACTTCAGTCGCCAGATAGTCGCCCCGTAGTGAATGCACGTTCGTTCAGCTACGTGTCTTGGCTACTTTTTGGCTTCTTTGTTTAGCGACTGTCGGTTGCCATAGGTAGCCAAGTATTCAGTGATGGCGACGTTCGCCATGGCGCGGCGTCCCGGTGAGGCAGCATTCTTATTTCAAATCTCCTTTAGCTAGGCCTTATTACCTGCCGTTACCTTATTTCATACATGCTAGTATTTTTTATTTACTTATTTATTCAAACACACAAGAAACAACCTAAACTTAGGTTACGTTGACGTACCCTTTTTCCGACAAAAAAGAATCATTCACAATCGGTTCACAAATCCGGAATTATCGCATAACATATACATTAAAAAAATAGTCGAATTGAGAACTTCCTTCTTTTTTAGAGTCGGTTAAAAAACACCAACATTACAATATGTCCTTTTCAAGGAGTAAAATGACATTTTGCAGGGTTACCAGGTTTCATAAAATTTTAAATAGTGTTGTTGTCGACAGTTTTATCGATAGATTGTGGAAAGAAGGTAAAATTTTGCTAAAAATTTCTGAATTGTGAATTTTAGACTTTCTACCGATTACTAATTGCATATTGCCTTCTTCATTCTTATTTTGACAGTTGGCCGAAAAAGAACAGGGTAATTTCATTATTTATATTAAATTAAAATGAGAAATTTTAAAATTAATCTCCTCCTTGTATTTTTATTAGACATAGTTCTAAATACAGTGTATGTATATAGGAACTTGCGAGAATTGATGATTAGAATGAGCCTGTGCCCAGTGCCCAGCTGCTGGACGAATAATGGACCGATGATGATTTAAATGAAACAAGGTCGGCTATTGCATATACGTGGCCAACATTCAGTCGATACGAGATAATCGATATCGATAGCAATCACTAGCTGCTTGCAAGCGGATAACACTTTTACGCAATGAAATGTCATTTAATGTTACTCCATCTTTTAAAAAAGGCAGAGTATATAAGAATGCAAATGGTTTATATGTTCGAATGATGTGTCCGAGAAAGTTTTATTACTAATATTTCTTTCAAAAACATTTTAAAGAGTTTATGTGAACGGACAGAAAGACCATTTTACATTTTTTTCTAAGCCAAAATAAATATCGACGTTTTATACATTTGAAAGCTGCCAGACCTACTTTACCATGCTTACAAATGTATAATAAACATTGCCCTACTTTGGTAAAATCCCGGCACCCACAGACGGGGCGGGACGGCAAAGGATTTTTAGGAGACGTACAAATCGCCATCCCCGGAGAACAAAAAGGTAACTGCCATGATCACAGTTTTAGTGTTATATCATATTTAAGATCTTTAGGTACCAATACATATGTATTTTGAATTTTTTTCGTGATTTTTAAGCAGTTACTTACGGAATAACAAAATAATACAATATCATTCAAATTTTCTACTCATGCCCAAGTGCACAAGAATAAGGTTATTATGTTTCTTAATATGATAAATGACAATAGAATTATGTTCTCGTAAAAATAATTACACAAAATAACGATACACGCAGTTATCATATTTTATTCCCGTTTCAAACTGTTCGTATAATAAAGCAAAAGTTGATTATCATATCATGGTTTCATTGTAACAGCAAAATAAAAGACCTTTCCAAAAAAATATCTTACTATGTTTACGAGAATAAGATATACGTAATTATTATCTTCGCCACTTGTACTATTGCAACCCGTAGAATAAAATAATAAGTCGACGGTGCAATACTTGTTTTCGGCTCAGACACAACGAGAATAAAATTATAATCCACAATATAAATTCAACATGATGATTGATTTTGACTAATTATTTATTATTGATATATCTCTATTTTGGCTTAACTAACGGCTGTTTCATTTATAATATAAAAATGCACAAAAAATATTCTTTGCTTACAGCTAACTACGTTCAGTATTTAAGAACTTATCAATGAAAACATGTTTTTTGTTTTTCCTGAAATATTACTTTGTTGCGATTATCATTTTGTTCTCCGGGGATGGCGAATATGCCTTGAGATTGACATTACCTGTCTCTCTCACACACTCTGAATAAGGCGTAAGGTTCAAAGCACAGGGTTGTCACATTATCAACTCATGAGATAAATAAATGTAGGCCATACAAATATTTCTCCCGACCACGGAATCGAACCCGGGACCTCTGCATGGCAGATCAGCATGGTAGCCGTTCGGCCACGGAGGCAGTTAATAACTATGGCATTGCCATAGGCACCTACTTGCCTTATTATAGGTACTACATGGTAAAAATAACTTGTCTTGTATTTGAGGAAACACCTTACGTTACTTTGCTGACATTTTATTCAATCTCCAAGGTCAAAGACCTTTGAGCTCTTCTGTATGCCAATTACGCGCGAAAACTGGTCTTGAATTTCTAAGAACGAGTTTCTTTGCCGACACGAAGAACGACACACGCGTACCACGTTTTAGTTTTACTATTACTATCATACTAACATGTTGATACCTCTTTTTCATTTGTCGGTCGTAGTTTTAAATTGTTTTACGCTATGGTACGATCAAAATTATGTAAAAATACCGTTACCTAAGGAGGCAGAACCGTTCAAACATCTTCCCTTCAATTTTCGGTATATGTTCTTCACAATCTGGTGTTTGGTGAGTAGATATTTGTTTTTATTTTGTTTCAGTATATAAGTGTAGTAAATAAGCTTTTTTAAGTCTAGCTCGTTCAAAAGGAGAAAGTATGATGAGGGTAGATAAATAAAATAGCAGTTTTTCAGTTACCTCGAAGGAGATATTGAAATGTTTAGAATTTATAAATTACGTAGGTAAAAAATTGATATAAAAATGTTTGTAATTCAAAATATATAAAACACTATAAATAAGGACTCTATTTTACAATATAAATTTGGATATGCAAATAGTAGAGTCGTTTTTATTGCTAAAAAGTTTTACATTAGGCTATTCTTAACTCGTACTGATAAAACAACATGGGGCCCACAAACGAAAAATCGTTGCCATCAGACGGACACACACACACACAAACACACACATTACAGTTTATCGTATCTTCATTCCGTTCCGCGATAGAGACAGAAAACTATTTACCAGTTTAATTTCCGCCTTGAGAAAAGGAGGAAAATATGAAAAAAAAAACAGACGTCGTGTATCGAACACACGACTGCGATTAAGGCACAGTTGATCCGGTTCCGATTTGTCTATTAAATTTTTGATACTGTTCCGTTCGACCAATGATATTATACTTGTTTAATTATTTATGCTCACTGTTTTAAAAAATCGTCACACACGTCAGACGAGAGAGCACCGTTTGATTGACACCGACTGATCGTAGCGATTTTTCGTAGTGTTTGTGGGCTTCATAAGTTTCAATTTACCTTGCCCCGGAACGCAATGGGACCAAATTTTTGTAACGAAATTGTACATAGCATAATAAACTTTATGTCAATTAGGTATAAACTAAATACGATGTGGTAGCTGCGGGAATTCCCGAGACTACAAGAATTCTCGGGAACACACGCGGCCTGTTTTATAGCTTATATTTAATTTGTACGTACGTTACACAATTAACATAAAACGTAAAGTTCTTTAAACTGTGCTTACAAAAATTTGCTTCCATTCCGTTCCGCGGCAAACAGGAGGTAAAGACTATTAAAAAAAATAATACCACTACCTTGAATATTATCAAGTATATTCAAGGCAGTGGCACCGTTTTTTTGGTGTAACGGGCTGGTGTCCGCAACTCGACGTCAAGGCGCCTATTTTGCGTGTGAATATATTATTACCTTGTATACTGTCAATACTTATGCCAATACTTACAAGTTGATCGGTCTGTGTCAACACTCGTGTCTTTTTTAATTTTATCTGTTTTTCCAGGTGGTACAGACAACATACTTTGCTCTCGCATTCTTGAACGATTTCATCGGCTCCAACGAAGTATATCCGAAGAAAACATCAAAAATTCGAGTTTTAAAAGACATCTTCTTCGGCGTGGCTTTTCCTTTTGCGTTTTATATCGCAATAGTTTTCTGGACAATTTATACATTGTATAAAGATCTAATTTTTCCAGATAATATAGAAGAGATATTTCCGTTATGGATGAATCATGTCATGCACACGTTAATTGTCCCCTTTGTGATAATAGAGTTGTTTATAACGCCTAAAACATATCATTCGAGATTGTTAGGTATCGCAATAGGTTTTTTCATAGGAGTGGCCTATTTAGCTGTATTAACAGTAGCGTTTATTTTGGCCGGGTCCATGGTATACCCATTTATTCATGCTATGAACTGGAAGTTAATGTTTGGTTTTGTCTTGATAAGTTACCTTGGGGTATTAGTTCTTTATATTTCAAGTGCGGAATTGAATGATCTAATTCATGGCAGTGGTATCCCTGAGATTGAGACTAAGAAGGTAAAAAGAAAACTTAACTAGGTACTAAGACTACATAATTAAGTGTTTATATTGTATTTTTGTATATTCTATTCTGACATTTATGTTGGACACTATTAATACGAAATTCGTTAATTAATTTGACGAAATTTATTACACCTAGATATTGTAGAGATAATTATATTATCAAAGGGTTACATTTTGAATGCACCATGATCAAATTACTACTTCAGACTCAAATCCCCTTACAATAAAATTTATTTCATTCTTAACATTTTGTTTCCTTCTTTTATGTTTTTTCCCAATTGTTTTTGTTGTTATCAAGTCCATTTTTTGAGCACATCTGTTGTAAATAAAACATAAACTTCTATAAAACATTAGAACAGTGTTGGCACCATTTAAGTACTGATGTACAAAATTTTCAGGGTCTGATTGGTTTTCCAATTTCAAAGCTATATTGTAAACAAATGTCCCATTATAAGATTTTGAATATCTAGTACATGTAAATGGTTCAGCGCACAATTTGTTTAAGCTATTGAAATGCATTAAACAATATTGGAATTGTGCAAAGGAATGCATCCTTTTTACATCATAAGTTTTTGGCTTTTTCCGGATACTATCATCAATTTCAAAATGCTTTAAAAGTACACTGGCAGCAACTAAACAGTCTTCATACTGTACTTTATTTTTGTTCAAAGAAAGTTCCATTTCTTTGTTGTCTAACTTTGTGTTAGGTCTTTTTCTTAATTCCTCAAGTTTCTTGCTGTATTTATTATTAAAATTATAATGACCACGGAATGTGCCAGTCTTTTCATCAATAACTTCAAGCATAATGTAGCAAATAAACAGACTGTGTATATGATTTAGTGGTACACTGCAATTTTTTACCCACCAAAGTAAAGAAATCATAAAAATTTTGAAATTTGGTGGTAACAATTCAATTTCTGAGAAATCCAAAGACTGCATCTTGAGTTTTACAAATTCATTGAAATATAAGAACAATTCATCATAGCATAATTCGGTAAAAGATTTTTCTAAAGGCCTTGGTATGGAATATTCAGTTCCTACCTGTAACCTTGTATAATTCTTATCATTAGAATTTTTTTGCCTGCAAACAATTGTAAAACTCTCATGAGCAAAGTCTGTGAGTATGTCAAATGCAAATCTTACCAATGGAAGTGCACATAGACAAGCATCATCATCTGAGTAATCTTCAGCTTGCGGAGAACAGAAGTATAGATGATGAGTATATAAATTTATGTAACATTGTGGTATACGTTTTTGTCTTATATAATCGGCAAACCAATTTGGCATTCCAAGACGTTCATTATCTTCTGCTTCAACATCACTATTATCTTCAGACACATTATCTTCTTTATTTGAACTATCTGAACTAGACTCTTCTCCATCAAAAGCCTCAAGTATTTCTAACTCTGGTTGGTTTACTCTTTCCTCAATCTTAACATCAAAATATTTTAATGATTCACACTCGGTAGTATTGTACGCAGCCACACTTTTTTTTATAATGGCAAATACCTTGTGTTTCTTATTTTTCTTCAACCTCCCCAATATTTTAGCAATTGCCGAGTCTAAAGTTTCTGTTTGCAACCATTTTAATAAACCGTGAATGCATCTTTGTTGCTCATTTTGATTTTTTTTACTCTTAGGCAATTTAAGTTGTGAAAAGAACTTGTTGAAAACGCGCTTCTCAACAAAATCATTACCAAGCAAAGTTGCTAACAGTGGCATCATTTCCTTGTTTAAACCACCAAAATGATCTGTTAAATTTTCGATTTTAAAGATTTTGCATTCTAAAGCATATACTTTGTTATCATTTTCTACCAAAGTTTGCGGTTTGGCTTCTAGAGTATTAAATGGTATGTACAGAACATTGTAAATGAAAAAGTCGGAATCATAGCTTAGTACTGGGCAATTAAGGTGTCGCGCCAATGCAGCAATTTCATCGTCGGCCTCGAATTCACATACTGTGTACGGAACATCAATTTCTGCCAAAACTTCAATAAAAACGTCTCTAAGAAGCAAAGGAAATATCTGCAAGCTACCTTGTGTAACAGGATCAAGTCTGGACGCGCCATATATCTTTGAGCTGAGTCTACTATAGGCAGTACGAAGTTTTCTTGTTTCGTAACTACCATCGAAAAGAACGTATGGCAAGACATTGCACTTACGCAGGTTTTTGAAGAAATTCTTCACATGCATAGCGTATTTATCATAATCGCCTCCAAATGCAGAGAAACAGTTGAGGGAGCTATACAACTGTGCACATAGACTGTGGCCGTCGATGACAAGCTGAGTATTATGAAGATAGAACTGCTCCAGTATGGCGTCTCGATTATAATTTATATACGTGGTTAGTCCTCGTACCCCCATTGTTATATCGTCGACAAGTATATACTAATGTACTATATAAGAGCCTTATTCCATTTACGAGTTAAAATTATGAAAAATGCAAAGATCTAGCTACAATAAATAGCGAGCGGTTTTATTGACAACCACAATATCGTTTAGAAAAGTGAACGAATATATTTTCATTGAAAAAATAAGGAAACAAATTAAATAGACGCAATGAACTTCATCATACATTTTTCACTGCTTATTTCTTAAGGAGATAATATTACACACATATGTAATATAATTACAGGATTTTTGTCATTTTTTCTATCATTTTGTTAAGTGTGATTGAATTTTTTTGTGAGAATTGAGAATGTTCGAAATGATTTCAGAACGAAAACATTTGACAATCCTTCCTTCCCCCTAGCCCCGCGCAGCATACCCCCCCCATAACTACCATTTTTGACGCCGGTGCTGGTGGTAGCAAAAACACGTGTTTTTAACGAAAAACATTGTGGTTTACCACTAAATAGCAATCGTAGTGCTATATAGTTGTAATTAAACGTTATTCGTTGCTTAATCGTCGTTGGAAACTATTGGTAAGTGTAATTATCATCAAGTTGCGCCATCTTAAATCCTTTTGTGGTCATCTGAAGTAATTTAATTATTTTGATGTTTTAGTGAAAATGACTGAACAAGAAGTCGCCGGTGAGAACGGAAAGGAGCGGGAGAATAATGCTGAAGATGAAACGGAACTGGAAAGTGCAATTATCCAGCAGGTGGAATATTACTTTGGTTAGTCCAGTTGTGTATCGAATTAGCATGTATACTTTGGTTAGAAGTTCCTACTCGTGTCACGTATATATGGAACATGCTGCCTCATTGGTGTGCTCTAAATAGTAATATTGACTAAATTTCATCTCTGTGCTAAAATAATTTTATCCAGACTAGACACCAGCTCCACTTCAGAACAGCTGACGTCGAGTCGGGCGTTCAAATTTTTTTTAGAGATAGATATAGTGAAAAGTAACGCCCCTACCAATTTTCAGTTTTAGGAAATTAAAGGTTTTCGAAAAAATAATTTTTGGAAATTGTGAATAATTGAAGCAAAAAACGCATTTGACAACTATCTAATGCAAAATTTGTGTGAAAAATGCACGCCGACACAAATTAATGCTTGCGTTTCGATAATACACTATCATGATGTCACATGTTGCAAAGTTTTGAAAATATTTGTGTGGCCAGGACTGGTAGCTGTAAAGGTACTAACTGGGTGATAAATCTGTCATAGATTTCTCATAGATGGCGCTACGACTAAAAAGTTGTTGAAAGACCAAGTACAAAGACACGACGCAAGCACATAGAAAGATTTGTGAGGTCCGTTGGTTCGTTCCGTGGCTTAGTTGGTATAGCGTCCGGCACGGTATGCAAGAAGACGTTGGTTCGAATCCGAATGGATCGAAGGAATTTTTTCTGAGTGTTCGATCCGTGTATTAATAATTATAACAAACTAGTGGAGTAATTTCACAAAAAATTATTGAATATCAATTCAATAAAAATTTAATTAATATTTGTGTTGTTTTTATGTACACTATTATTATAGGTATACCATTGATTGATTGAGGTATACCATTAAATTTTAAAAAAACTATTAACATTATTTGACATGAACAGGTTTTTTAAAATAGAATTAATAACAATTTAGTATTTTAAAGAATAAAATGTGATGTCACTTTGGATTCCATACATCCATACTGGCTTCAGTGTTGTTTTGTAGATGAGCAGTTCATTGTCTATTGACAGCTTGCTGTTTCGTCCGACCAGCCAGTACAGATTTTTGTATCGCAGGCTGAGTTCCTCTCGTTTATCCTTTATGTGCTGTTTCCATGTTAGTCTCTGATCAAGATGTAACTCCAAATAATTCACACAGTCACTTTGTGGTAGTTCTGCATTCTCAAGTTGAACTGCCGGACAGTAGAAAACCATTTTGACATAGTTCATTTTATGGTCGAATGTGAGTTGTCCATAAAAATTAATAATATTGTCAAAATTTTCGTATAGCTTTTCATTTTCGTGAAGCTTTTAATTATATCTTATTCTTCCTAAAATCTGTACTGATTTAGGTGTGAAATAATTTCTTTAATATATTTCTCGTGCTGGAGCTTACCACAACCTCTTAAAACAATATTACTTTAACCTTACATTGATTTTTCATACCATAACGTGCTTAAAGTAAGCTTATTGTAATGTTAAAACTATGATGTTATATTGGCAGCTTTGTCACTATTCATTCACTCAGTTCGTACTATGACGCGACTTTAACATTAAAGTAATATTACTCTTATGTCAAGGTTAGCAATCATTAAATAGATACACGGATGCAATGGAAACAATATTATTTTCTTTATTTATTATTAAAAGTTAAGTCGAACTTATTTATTTACATAATAGCACATAGGAAATAATTTCTCATTAAATAACAATACGCGATGTTTATTTCATAAAATTATGACAGCGCCAACTATATGCTCCTTGGCGAAACTAACAGTTGACACTAGACTACAGTTCCGAAATCACAACGTGTACAATCAAGACTCAACTTGTTTTATTTATTTTTGTTCATGAAAATGCAATATAATTATTGACAACAATTTAATTTTAATAGATTTTATTATTACATACTTTTCTTTTTTTAACAGTCAAAATTCTCTGAATGTAAATAACATTAAGTACTTAAACATTATACTACGATAACACGATTCGGAACATCAAAAAGAAAATAGATGGCATTATATAGTTCACATAGCGTTATCTCTTTACTATTTTTAGTAAGGAATAGACAATATTGGGAATCATTCATTTTTTCAATTACTTTTGCAATAATATATTACTTGGTTGACAGGTTCGTCATGGTACGGATATGAGTAATATTATAATAAGCTTACTTTAAGCTTACATTGAAATAAGATTGTTTTTGGGAAGGTTATGGTAGGCCCCCTGATCTGTTAACATTGTAGTCCATATTTGCTGTGCATAAACACTGTATTTTTCTAATTCTCTCTCTAACTACACTAGTTTTTTGGCTGAAATGCTGGTAAAAGAATACTGTAATCTCTTTATTTTTCCATAGGTGATATGAACCTTGCCCGTGACAAGTTTCTTCGTGAGCAAATAAAGCTTGATGATGGGTGGGTTCCGTTGGATGTGCTTGCCCGTTTTAATCGGCTAGCCAAACTGAGCAAAGACGCAAAAGTCATTGCTAATGCATTGAGCAAGTCTACGTCTGGAATAATCGAGGTATAATTATAAATTCAAAAATTTTATAAAAATATTATTTTATTTATTTATGTCCACATTATGTTTAACATGTATATGTCTCATATCGAGGTTTTCGCGATTGTTACACATAGGAAATGAAACTAAAAAAGCCATTGAAATTAAAAAACATCCTAATTTCAACAGGGAAGATGGTTTCTCTGTGCCACCAGTTTGGGATCCAGTATTTCCTCTGATGAAAAATCCCAAACAGACATAAGACTGCAGTACTAATTAATATGTTTTAATTTATTTTAATTTCCATTATTAATTGATAAAAAATGTTTTGCATTAATATTAGGCACAACTGGTTGATGACTACCACCTCAGTCAACCGTGACCATGGGACCTGTAAAGGGCCCGAAATATCGGTTTGTTTGAAAAAACAAATATACGCAATTTAAACCCGGAAAACTAGTTTAATTTCCTATGTAAATGTCTCTTCACAATACACAAATTGAGCGGATAAAACACAGTATAGCATTGTGACATATGTTTGCAAATATTGGTGACTGAAGTTACAATTATTTGTACCTTAACACGGATTGTATTTTTTTATGATATCAAGTGATGGTACGAACAAGTCGTGCACCTGGTGATAAGCAACGCGCCTGTCCATAGCAGTTGCAGTGCCACTCATAGCTTCATTCAATATTATCGCAAAAATCTGAAGGCCACTAGTACTGCACCCGTCATCGAAAACATATAAGTTAACAAGTCCTATGTGCCTGTAATTTCACCAACACTTACCCTTAAAAAACCAAACGCAATAATGCTCGCATTACTGCTTGGCGGCAGTAGTATGTAAGGTGGCAAAGGTAGCAACACTTTCCTGGACGAACTCTTACACAGGGAACTCTACTGTTACTAAATAGAGTATAGAAGTTGACAATAACAAAATAGTATGTTTCACTGTGCCTGGCCAAATACTAGGCTTACAGACATAATGAATATAATGAAATAGGCTTATAGGTATGTTGTCTATGCACTAAATAATAAGAAAAATAATCAAGAAAACCAAAATAGATGTAAAAATTGTATACAATTTAGTTGTTTTACCTGGATATATTGAATAATTTTGAAGCTAATACAAATACTGTTTTTCTCTAAAATACCATTATAAGGCGTTGTTTGGTCCATATTTTTATTTGTTTTTATAGTTTTCTAAAATATCTAGTTGCCATATGATATGCACAAACAGCCGCCTTTTGTTTATTTACATGTATATCTACTAGCTTATTATTTAAGTTAATATGTGCCTGGCTTAAATGACCAACAAGAATAATACCAACATTTTATCTCGCCAATCTAAGTAATACTGTATCCTTCCTAATTCACTGTTCAAATTCTTAGGTCTCGATTGTAGCACACAGAATTTTTCTAGCACACAGATTTTGTCTATCTAAATTCACTACGAAATTATTTGATTATATAGTAACCATTCAAGTATATCGGGAAGGGTAGTGCTTTAGTTAAATTTAATTAGTATTCATTATAATTTTGACTACCATAAAGGAATCGTCACCAAAGAGGACAATCTCGTTTAACGTGGACTAACAAATCGTTAATAATATATAGTATGAATAACGGCAGCCCTAAAATACTACCCTGCGGTACTCCACAAATTCATCATACTTGATTTTAATACTTTATCCATGTTTGCGTCTGTATAGATAGTATGTTTTTACTGTTGGCGTTTTTCAAGATAAGACTATTAGGTCGTGAGCGAGTCCTATCAAACAGTACTCTTATATTTTGTTGCATATTAACTTATGTGACACGAAATCGAAAGCCGTCGTCATATCCACCAAATTAGTTAAAACTGCATCTCTGTTCATTGAAATGAGATATTGTGATTTAGAGCTTCAGGTCTCCACCCTATCATTCAATGTGGAAAATGTCTAACCTACTGGGTAACTTCATAAATGTATGTGCACATTGTTAAGACATAAAACAAATATGGAGTAGTAAAACTGGGGTTCACAATTATCTACGTACATTTAATCATGCTTTTTTTATACAGTTATCAGAAGATAACCAGAAGATTCGCAGAAGTCCTGAAATGCCAGTTCCGGAAATGAATGAGGAACGTCGCAAAGAACTCCAAGGACGTACAGTATACACTAAAGGCCTTCCAAAAGATTCGAAACTCGATGAATTGTTAAAATTCTTTAAACAGCATGGAGACGTGGAGAATATCGTCATGAGAAAATATCTTGATAGATCAAAGAAGCAACGAATCTTCAAGGGATCAGTTTTTGTCACTTTCAAGAACAAAGAACAGGTCAGGAATGTCTTTTTTGTTTGGTGCTGTATTATTTTAAATTTACAATGTATGATAATTTATATTGTACACACTCATAGGCCCGCACTAGGGAAACCTGTGTCGCGAGTGCCATAGACACACATGGTCAAGCACAAATTACACCCAAATTTACGAGAGAAATGTAGGCCATACAAATCTTTCTACCCCTCCGGAAATCGAACCCGGGACCTCTGCATGTCAGACCGGGGTAACCATTCGGCCACCGTAGTTGGTGACAGTATCACATCTATGGCAGTATGTTCAACACATACATATGCAAAATAATGTATCTAATTTGCTTTATTATTCTAGGCAGTGAAATTCTTAGAAAACAAGGACCTTAAATATGGAGAGACAGACTTGTTGATCCTCTCACAAGAGGCCTATTTCCAGAAGAAGCAGGAAGAATATTCTGAGAAGAAAGAGAAACGAGATAAGAAACATAAACAGAAAGAGGCAGCTGTAAGTAATGAAAGTTTAATTTCTTTCAAAATGTCTTTATTTCATAAAAACCAAATTACGCTTGAAATCAAGTTTTAAATTTTATTGCTCATTCAAAAGGCTGCAGGTCATTCTGAAAAGAATATACAAGATATTAGGAGTTGTTCATTGATAATGTCAAGATAGAAGAGCTACAATATTGAGTATAGCTTTTTCTATGTTTCATGCTTTAGAGTGCATGAATTTCTCTAGAAGGAAGTACAGACTGTCATCATTACAATATGTTTGTACTGCAGTTGGGATGATTATGTCTAGTCTTTTATGTTGTGTCGATAGTCTCTCTTTCCTGTATTTTCATGAATTCTTCGATTGGATTTGTTAAATATTATTTATTTTATGTTAATTCTAATTTTCCAGTTTGAAAAAGAGAAAGAAGAGTTGAAACTGCCCAAAGGAACTGTACTGTATTTCAGTGAAGCAGCAGATACCACAAAGAGAGAGAACATTAAGGAGGCATTGGTTGCTCTCGGTAAGTTAGATACAGTCATATTGAGCTTACAACTAAGTATTTTTCATGCATGACATTTTGAGCACAGAAGATTATTTACTGTATTGACCTTTAGTAGCAGTAGAGCTGAGGTCCTTGTGAAAGAGTTAGTCCAGGGTAGTACTGCCACCTTACCTATTTCTGCCGCAAGCAGTAATTTTAGATTACTGTGTTCCAGTTCTGAAGGGTAAGGGTGCTGGTGAAATTGGTGGTGCACATGGGACTTGTCAACTTACGTCTCAGATCTTTACAAGCTCTGAGTGGCACTGTAACTGTTATGGACAGGCGTGTAGCTAACCATCAGGCGCACGCACGTGCGCACGCGCGCATTTCTTTGTGTTTGTGAGAAATCTATGAAGGTTTTTCTCCAAACAACATACAGACACAAGATCCTGTCAGACTGAACAAATTTTTCTGTATTCTCTCTTCGTATTAATGATTATATTATAACGAACTAGTCGAGAATTTCTTAAAAATAAATAAATGTCATAGCAAAATGCAATAGTAAATATTTAATATTCATAACAATACAAGTAAATTAATAAAAAATCTCATAAATTTTCAATTGATTGTGTAATCATGAACATATCGTTTGTGGCTTCTGCAATATTATGTGTGCTTGGATCAAATTTGAAAAATCCACTAACTGTTTTAAGTTCAGACTTTTTACGACATATGTTTTTATTACAGAAGTTGATGTCGCATATATAGACTTCAAAGTCGGTGACACGAAAGGCTGGGTACGTCTCGCCAAAGAGAATGCAGCTAAAGAATTCGCTGAAAAGTTTCCAGATGGCAAAGTCAAAATTGGTGATGCTGATGTTGTGTTCAAGCTCCTAGAAGATGATGAAGAGACAGAATACTTAAAAAGAACCGTTGAAGATATGGTTAAGAAACGACACAATCAAAAGAACTTCAGTAAGCAATTTAAACACAAGGGAGGTTACAAAGGCAAACAAAGCAGAAAAAGGAAACAAGACCAGCATGGTGATGAACCGTCGAGGAAGGTTAAAGCCGATTGTTAGTTACACGCAATTCCTATTTCTGTTGCTATTATTTTAAGGCTGGATTACCGTTTTTTCGTTATATATAGATAATTCGACATTGTATGGATAGAAAGTTTCACTACATTGATGACTTGTAATTGTGTGTGCTGTGGTACAAATGGCACTCTATAGTCATGTAAGCAAACTCAATTTTAGAATTGAGAGCCTCTGCCTGCCCTGTGTATTTTTTAAAATAAAATGTTTTAAAACTGTCTGACAGAATAAAAATAAATAAAATTCGAATGTTTGAACATTTGATGACGGATTTTGTTTTTGTAATCCATATTAGATGATTGTCTACGCGATATCTAAAGGTTTTTTTCACGTGTTTCTGATAGCAGACATCATTTTAACAATAATTTCATAATTTTTATTAATTACTTACTGTACTGTAGTTTAATATTTTAACTTATGAACTTATTCATACACTGCAGGCAGTAAGTCACTGCCACAAGTCTGGTGAATTAATCTGTGTCTAGTGTAATACTACATAATCCTGAACGAAGAACTACAAAACCACTTAAGGGCCCATTCGTTACCGAACATGTCAGCCGACAGTCTGATTGCAGGCGACACGTCATCCGGTATTTAGTTTTGAATGTTGGGCGTGTTAACGGATTTTTTCCTCCCTTCGCGACATGAAAGTTGCCAATTTATGAAGTGCGTTACTACCAATAAATGTACGGCACCATAAAATGTTATATTTCGTAATATTAAGACTAAACCTCAAGTTGGAAAGACGTTTCTTTGAGTGGAATAATATTTACGCCACGTTAAAAACGATGTTTTGAGGCACTTTAAGCAATGTAAATTATTTTCAAATACACAGCACAGTTTTTACATACGAGATTGTGACCTGGTTTTGAATTTACTTCTGAACCTAGATGCTATTTTGTGTAGCAAACTTCTCAGTATTTAGTACATACATACATTTAGTTTAATAAGTATAAAAACTAAAATATGTCTAAAGTGTTCCTTTCTCCATGCTGTTAAACACTCGATTTAATAAAATTGAACTTAATGACTGTCTTTTATTCATGGTAGTAAAATAATACTATTTATATTAGTTATATATCGGGCTACACGGTGTAGAAAACTAAACTTAAGCTCAATTTGCAACAAAATAGAAGTGGATTTTTATAACGGAATTGTACATGACGTAACCACAGTTCCTATGTGCTTTACACTGTGACGTAACGAAGCGTATGTTAATTATGTAAAGTACAAATTATTTTAAAATTATGCGACTAAAACCAACTAATTCACGATTTTCGTGACCGTCAGGATGGCTGGTCGTCTGTGGCATCTGGCACTAAGTGTATATTCAAGAAATGCTACCTTTGATATATTCTGAAAAATTTAAAAAAATAATTGACCAGCCGTTCTGATATCAGGATGGCTGATCGCCACTTTGTTCAGCATGAAGCTAGCGGGTTTTCCAGAAGTATGTATTACCAATAATTGCTACTTTCACGAATTAAAGGTATACGCTTCTTATCTGCATTAGTTAAAAAATGTAAGCGATTGAAAATTTTACGAAGTGCCTGATTAAATTAGAAAAGCAAAAGTTTTTAGTGCTCTATTGCCATAATATAAAGGGCAGGCGTTGGCACTTCTTCGTATCGATATTTATTAGCAATGATATTATTTATGCTTACTGTTTATTATTAGTGTATGCATGTCGTGTTGGGCTCCTGGCTTAAACGAGATGAATGATACTTTACGAGACGCATGGAGTACAGTCGCGTACGACGATTGATCAGAATAATTGAATAATAAATGAATGAGTTATTTGAATAAACGATGACTATTGTTGTTTATAGCGCTAGTCATATTCAATTATAAATTGGTAAGATTAACTCTGTAGATAAGGTACAGCAAAATATTTATTTATTATTATTACACTCTATCAATTCAAAATTATTTTAATCACCACGAATACGATACCTTGAGTGATTTCACAACGAATATTTGGAACTATAGCCTTCCAAAGGTACACATTTTTCATTATGTGTATGATTTACCTGCATATGAAAATAATTGAAACTCTAATCGATATCTTCTAAACAAAGAAGCGACTAATTAATTAGGCTAGTTCGTCGATGGATCGTCAATGTAGTATAGTTGGTATTGCCACTATTACAAACTATTTGAACCTTGTTGCGGGATTGAAAGAATTTTTTATCGCTATAAAGTTACTTATTGACCTGGCAATATAATAGTAAAGCAAAGACTTGAAATGTATGCACATGTTACGTTCGTCCGATCGTTATGTGATTAATCGTTTTAGTGGCAATTTTAACCATTTATGGATCAATCAACTTCAAACAATCGTGCATATTTTTTTTTGAAGAATCGTAGCTCAGATTACAAAACAATAAATCTGAGAATCGTAGTATCAAATTATTATGGATTATACATGAAAAAGCCTAGAGAAAATAAAAATAATAGAGAAAACGACGTCAAAACAATTCTTTTTTAAAACTTGTGTATTCTAAGTTTTGTTAACGCAGTAGACAAGGGGCAGGGAAAACATTAAAATTCAATGAAAGACAGGGAAAACATAAAAAAAATCTGTTTTGGATTTAAAAGAATTAGTGGCTTAATTTGCTACGCTCTAGGTCATAAAATAAAAGGTTGAAAGGGGATTCGCTCTGGGCCTTTTGGAGGGAAAAGTGTCGTTTTTATTTTGACTTTAAATTATTTTGTGAAATCTAGTTTAAAGTGGAATATGATAGTGCTGTTGTGCCTTAATCGTAGATTAAAACGCGAAATTATACGAATCTCGAACTAAAATACCCGTATCGGCCTGTTCTAAGCAATCCCGAGTCAATCCAATCCAACATAATTAAACGAAGACATGGCTCAAAGGACTTGTATCCAAGCAGGGAAGAAAATGGCGCGCTTTTGAAGTTACAGGTTCAGTTTTTACAAAGATTATTTTAATTTTAAGTATACTATGAAGAAAATACGAAGACAGAAATGGTGATGAAGAAAGAACGTTAGAAGAAAGTCATTTTAGTCGTAGATTATTTATGTAATATAACGTGACCAGTAGATGTCATAAACATAATGAACAAAAAAAAATCTTCGTAATTATTTCCAGTATAAATTTATACTATCACGTAACTAGAATTGTTATTCTATATTTTTATTCCAGCGGTAACAGTAAATCATCGTTACAGTTTTAAAACGGCGTAACTACCGACTGATTCACGACTTTTTTAGTACAATCTGATCTAAGCTAGATGCTGTGATGGAGGAATGGTGCCACTGGAATATTATAAAAATATTACCACGAAAATCTCAATTATTTCAGAACTCTGCTAGGGTAGGTTATGAATTATAATAAATCTGTCGTCAAAGTACAGTCAATTCGGGTAACTTTGAACATTTTTTGCGTTTTTCTAATAATTTCAAATTTAATTATGTTTCTTAACAATTACTTTATTAACTAAATAGTGTTCTTTTAAGCCCTTTTTTCGTTCTTATAGAAGGAATTTAGTAATTATTCAACAAAACTGTTCTACATTTGCTCCAAAAGTCACATTCAAAGTTGCCTTGAATTTTTGGTAACTTTGAATAAGATTAGCCTTCTAATGGAAACCGTATGGAAACCGTATATTTTCTAGATATTTTACAGTTTGTGTAGGATTATACGACATATTCATGTTTTTTAGATGTGAATTTGTCCAAATATTCCTGACAGTGCGTTCAAAAACGACATTTGACTTGGAATTGCCATAATAAAACGAGACGAACTAATTTAGTTGAAATGAAATAGGTACAATTTAACATTACTTTATTTTTCATAACTTTCGTTTAACAATTTTGTTCCGATTTACACAGTTTCAATACTAAAAATAAAAGATTGCTATACATAAAATAAATTTTTAAATCTTTTACGCAACTACGTTCAAAGTTACACCACGATTCAAAGTTACCCGAATTGACTGTAGTCTCTACAAATATTGTATTTAATGTCAATGTCAAAAGAGTGGCTTGCTTCTTTACTTTATACCAAAGCTTTTATACTTGCTTTGTTTTAGTTTGTGCTTTGTTTGGTGTTCTGTTCAGCTGAAGGACTCATATCGTTCTTGTTTTTAAATTGTTTTTTACTTGACAATGGCGAAATCCTCGTTTATTTCGATGGAGTCATAGTATTCAAAAGAAGAAGAATTAAGTATATTTTTTACTAAAACGTACAGTCTTCTCTATAACACTTTAAGACGAAGTAAACGGTTTTAAGACCAATACAAAATGAAACCAGAAGAACTGGAGTCAAAACCAGAGGATCCCGTAAACCCAGCACCTATTGCAGGCGACGTTATTGGAGACACAGCGTACAGTGAGCGTTTCGTTCTCAAAATATTGCTAAAATTTGCTAACTTAGACACTTTAAAGGATGAAATTCAGGAAAAATCCTTCGAAGACGATCTCTGCACTCTTTGGGACATGACGGCCGAGAGAGATGTAGTTTTATTCCTTCAAAAACATGACGTTTTAAACTTATTCAATTTCGCGCTACCTGTGATTGAGTCCGCGCGGTTTATTGAAATAATTGCAGGTATTATTGGTAATATGTGCTGCCAAAAAGAAGTTGTTGCAGCTCTTTTAAAAATGGAACCATTTATTACCTTACTCTTGGAGTATATGAAGTCTGATGATAGTTTGATATTGGTTCAAGTTTTACGGTTCGTAAGTTCGTGTTTATTCGTCGCTGAAGAGGAAGATATACAATTTTGGATGAACAAATTCGAAAATTGTGGCTATTCATCAACTCTGTATTTCATTTTGAAGAATTCGTCGCACAAGGATCTACTTGTCACTGCTTTAGAGAATTTTAACACATTGACATCATATTGCAATAAAGGTATTACTAGAACAGATTATTTCAATCAGTTTGTTACACCAGAAGCTATAGAATCTTTAACTACAGCTTTTAAAGAGATAATGATAATCCAAGAAGATATTTGTGAGACAGATGAGATAGAAAGAGTTTTAGTAATAAGTCTACAGATAACTTTAAATTTAGTTGGATTTGATAGATCGCCTGAAATATATAGCAACAACAAAGATGATGTTTTAACAATTATAAATAAAATCTTGAATTATTTTGAAAATAAGTTTGTTAATAATAAGGAAGTAGATTCAGATCTAGTTGATATTATTGAATCCACAAATGCAATAGTTACAAGATTACAGTTGAGTGAAATTTCTGATTTGGACCAGTTTTTTGTACAAAGTTTCAATATTTGGAAAGCGCTTAGTTTACTTGATAAATCCCCTCAAAATGGTGGTGGTTTTGAAGATGACAACAGAGAAGAATTAAAAGAATTCTCCACACAAATAAAACCTTCATTGAGTACACTAATTAGCCTTTACTTAGCAAAATGTTCTGAAAGTAATTTGTTAAAGGGTCTCGATGAAATAAACCAACATTATGAGGAAATTCTGTGTTCTATTCAGGACAAGGAGATACGAAGTATTGTGACCAAGAGAGCAGCAAACTATAGGACTAGATTAAAAGAAAATGTAGATTCTTGATCAATAAATGATTCTGTGAATTAAAAGTTTGATTTAATTTTACTTATACAACCTACTTCCTACCTTACAAATAGACTTATGTTCAATGCTTACTCTCAGTTTTATAAACCATTTACATCAATTAACTTTATAGAACAGGCATGACATCAGGCCTGTGGTCATGGTCAGTGCAACCTGGCCTAAATGTCGGGTCAATAGTTAGGTGTAGAAATAATACATACTGTTTCATCGCATTTGTCTTCGTTTTATATAGCAAGTATAATGCAAAGCGAAAATTTAAACCATTTGCATCACTTTCAAGTAGCTAATGGGCACAACGATCAGCATTGGGCTGTAGATAGAATTCCAAAGTATGAATCCTAATATTTTTCTAAATTGGTTCACATTGAATATTGTTGCCTAGTACTGTTAGCGAGTTTCTCTTTAATTATATTAGAAAAATTAAAATACTAGTAATTTTTATAACAAAAAGGCAAGTGTGGTATTAATAAAGTAGGGTGCCTATAGCGAAATAATGGCTGGATAAGCCGAATACCGGATAATTGCATGATAACTGGATCATCTGTTATTATTATTAGCAGCAGTAGACTTCCTTGTGAGAGTTCGTCCAGAGAAGTACTGCCACCTCAACTATTTCTGCCGCCCAGCAGTAGGTATTGTGTGCATTACTGCGTTCGGATTTCGAAGTTTAAGATTGCTGGTGAAATTACAGGCATATGGAACTTGTCAATTTATATCCGAGGGTGAAAGGCGCAGTGTGTGCTCTTCAGATCCTTGCGAGTTAAAGCAATGGCACTGTAACTGTTATAGGTAGGCGTGTCGCTTACCACCAGGAGCACAACTTGTTCGTCCCGTCGTCGCTTGATATGAAACAATCCATAATTTATAGACGGGTCCGAGCCAGACGCTGTAGAACCAGAAAATATATGATCCCTCCCTTGTCAATATCAAGATCAAGTACACATAAAGGTACGAAAACTTCTCATAGCACCACTCCCCACGTTCAACGCTAGTCTGTCTCGAAAATGTCGCAAGAGTTACGCACTCGTAACTGCCGCTCTAAGGTCCATATAAGAAGCACCTTTTCAATTTAGATATGACCGGTTCAGTACGAGAAATAAATAAAGCTGAGGTAGTATCGACTCTACGTGTTAGAGATCAATAGTCTTTACTAACTTGTCGAAACAGAGATAAAGAAAACGACAATTGTATACGGGATTATATATTTTGTAGACATTATAAAGCAACATTTACATTACCATAAACGAGTTTTACACCGTCGCCTAAGCGACGGACTAAAACTATTCGAATGTAACAGTACATCGTAACAAAACAAAGCTTTCGCAATCACGCCACGACGCTAAGCCGCCACACATTGTCATTTTACATGATATGCTCCTCACATAAAAAAAAACGTACACCACAAATACTGAAAAGGACAATGGAGATTAATAACTGTATAGTTTACATTTATATGTACTTAAAAACTAACTAACACGAGCCTACGCGCCCCTTGAGCGGGGCAAAATCGCACAAAAATTTAAATATCAATTCGTAAATATTTAGATAATAATTATATCGTTAGAGATAATAAAAAACAGGATAAAGACTAGACTTTACACTGATCAACGACAATTGGCTAACAGCAACATATCGCGAGACGCCCGTCTGCGACCGGCGGTCATTTTATACGGGCTGAATATAAACCTGCAACTTTGACGGTACGCGTATTTGCAAAGTTGCAAAGAACACAATATATCGAAAACACAGTCAATGTATACAACTTTATGATAGCCAGAAAAGGCACAGTTGGCAATACAAGTCTAATCCTTCTATCTACCTACGACACGAACATTGCGGACAGAGTCGTGATGCCAGCTGTACGAAATTAAAAGGAAAAAATATAGCTCCCTTGAAAACTTAACACATGCAACCGGTAGCAGGGGGGCGCTTATAACATACATAAACCGTTACTTGTTACCTACTCAATAAATTATATAAATAATCTGAATTTTAAAACAAGTCTTAGGCGTTGATAAACATATCATATGTAGTACCACGACAAATCCCAGTTTCGCTACGTTTTGAGGAGTCTGCCTGCCCACTTTAGGTATATTCCACAAATCCCCAGTGGTGGGTATGGTGAGATTTATTTCCACAAATCCCCACAAGCGTAGTACTGGGGATTAGTGGAAAATTATCATTAATCTTGTACGTTCCAGATTTTTAATATTACCGACCAAACTTAGGATGGATTTTCAGCGGCAAAGACCCATCAACATAACAACGCATAAATTTTATTCTCAAACACCATAAAGTCGAATTTTGAATTGAAAACCCGTTAGTAACGAATGTAAAATAGTGTTGCCATGTTCATTGTATAATTACTGATGTTTGGTTCATTCTACATCAGGCCAATGACACAGAAAAATTTGTTAAGTAACATGATTAGGGACGATGACCCAATGAAATGAGCCATTGACATCGATCTCCGAGACAACACTATTTTTATTTTATCAAAAACTGGCAACATAATAAAAGGCAGTTGAGTTCGGCGAATTAAAAATCGAACTACACTTCCACTTTTTAAATAAAATAAAAAGGCTTCACGACACTGTTTCAATTTCAATGTTATATAAGTGGGCAGACATTCGACCAGAAAAAATTATATACAAAAAAACATAGCATTTACAAGCCGCGACCGATATGAACGCAGGGAACCCCTTTGTACTGACAGGGATATGTTTCTTGTGACATTGTACGACAATTGCATTGGAAAACCAGCCTTATAAACATATAGTGGCGTGTATTTTTAGGTCATTATATATTACGACGATTATAAAAAGTAGAGATCAGAGAGACGAAAGATTTGATTGTACTATTATTTAAAGCTAAAAACGCATACAGAGTCTGATGTTGCTGACGTTACCGTTATTTCGCTGTTAAGTCTACATATCCTCATTATGCTGATATTCCCCATATAATTCTCCAGGTTTGACGCAGATGACGTCGTCAACACCACGCGTTTGTTGAGCTCAACGCCTTTTGCGGTAACTTGTAAGCGCATCCTTTGTAGCGGAGACAAATTTTTGTATTTATGTATTTCTTTGAAAAAAATTAGGCAAGAAATACGAAAACGTGTCTCGTCTTTCTTCTTCTCCCATTAGATTTCTAAATAACGACAACCGCGACCTTCTAAACTTAAGGCGGACATATTTTTATAACACCACTACATGACTATAACACTTTATAAAACTATCCGACATCATTACAACTATTATTCCACTCGAATTATATAAGTCAAAGTAAAATCAAATTAAAAATAATACACGACAATTGTGTAATAGTTTTAGAAATTTTTCAAACCAATGATGAAATTCTTATAATGGTCCAATTTTGGCACATAACCTCCGATATATGTAAAAAATAATACTATAAAAACAAAGCTGAATAACAGTGACTTGTAACTGTCATTATTGCCCCTGATATACGTATTTGATAGATGCATTGTGGTAATGTAAAGTTGCATTTACAAAATTATCAAAATTATATAGAGAGAAGAAAAAGTTTCTTTTTTAACAAAAACGTATTTTTCTAGCAAATATTGGAATTATTTTGTCATACTATCTTCTAGTTAATTTCTAGTCGTAGAGACAAAAATATCATCCAAAATGAGCAAATATCAACTATAAAAGGACCCTGTATTATATGAATACATTCGGGTGTTATTCACTAATTTTATTTAACGAATATATCTATCAGATACGTATAACAGGATTATTCGTCTACAAATAATTTCTTTGGTACATTTTTGTGAGCAACGACATGTGGTTATGGACTGAGTATAACGTAGTCTTAGGGTCAATCCCCACTATTCAGCATACATCAGCATCGAGTATGTAGGGCTTTGACCTTTCCGATGCGATACCAAATACAGATCTTTGGACCTAAACATACATGTAAAATATGATCTCGTAATCATACTGAACCCAAAGAAAATCATCAAAATCATCTAAAAATCGGGAGTATAATTATGTGGCATAACAATTCTATCCATATAAAACTGCATAACAGTTCTGCTTAAAATTGTTAAGCGGTTTTATAATTACGTTAAATTGTCAATCTGTATAAGACCCCTAAAAATCATTCTGTAGTTTTATTGTAGCCGAGTGTGTGGTACCCAGTCACTGGAATGTTCACATCGACACCAACAAAACTGGGAAATGTACATTCCCATCGCACGGCTAGGCCCACAGATATATTGCTTTTACATAAGCGTATTTAAATCCAACTAGAGTAGGTAAGAAACGTCCATTTTGTACTTACACTCGGACATTCAAAACACTAGTAAATATTTCGAAACAACCTACTTCGTTGTCTTAAAGGACAGCTGTGTTACGATAGGATAGCTAAGGGGCACATATAGAACAGCGAGTCGAATAAATATAGATACACATCTACACAGTCTGATCGTAACGGCAAGGGGTGATCAATAATATCGCACATTGGTGACTTCTAATTTTTAACTGACACACGATCGATAACATTGAAATATAGTCACCGGCAAATAGCAGTAACACTAACAGCTGAATTTTATTGAATATTTTTGGAAAACATGTTGTGATGCTTTAGATATTTTCGGATTGGAAAGTTCAAAAACATGGGTGTGTAATCTATTGATGACCTCGAGCGGCATCTGTCAACGCTTCGGGGCGTTACGCCGTGAAGCTGCGGTCACAACAAATATCACGCTCGGGGATATGACACCTTCGCAAAAACACGTTATATCGAGATTATTTCACTTCGAATTATTGGACACTCGTAGAGTAAGGACTTGGTCACGGCGTGGCATTTACGCGCCTGCAAAGCCGTACACCTCGAGAACGCGGATCTCGAAGTCCCCGCTGGGGCAGAGAGGCGGGTTGTTGAATGTGGAGCAGCGGTCCGTTTTGCCGAACCTTATGTTTTCGTCCATCCATATCGCTTGGCCATCTCTGAAAATGAAAAACAAAATTCATAAAAACCAATACAAATACTAATATTTAGTTGACATGCATATTCATATGTATAATCAATCACTCATGTGGTGTTATTATTCATTCAATTTCAAATTTGCAATACATGCCTCAATGAGACCAGTATCAAAAGTGGACCTTGGAAGAAGTCGTCATGCCTCGGTCCCCTTGAAACGTGCAAGTACGAAACATGATGGAAGATAGTAAAAGCTGCAATCCCGTTAATCGAAATCAAGCCATACCCTCCGCCGACGGTGATCATCGTACTATCGGCGGCCATGAACAAATTTTTTGCATGTGGAGTACGCTCGTCTACTTTCTTTTCCTCCTCATCTCCCAATTCTTTCAATTCTTGTATATTTTCTTCTTGTTGTTTCTTCTTCTGTTCTTCTTCCACGCAGCCAACCCAGGGGTATTTAGCGCGGTCGGGATGCAGGCTAGAAAAGTATCATGTTAGAGAAGTTTTAAGTTTACTGACCCTCCTCCTACAGTGATCATCTTGGAATCAGCAGCCATGAAGAGTTCTGATCCGTGCGCGACCCGCGTATCTTCTCCCTTGTCCCCTGAGCCCTGGGTGAGGCCGACCCAGGGGTATTTGGCGCGCTCCGGGTAAAGGCTGCAAGCCAAGGATGCAAACACACGATGAAGCATTCAGTTATTTTGTGAACGAGTAGGTAAAGAAGAACGAACATGGTGTGCTCAATGTGGGTGTAAATAGAAGACAAATGATTGATGAGCATTGTTGGGTCTCGTGCATAATAAACCACTGCAATGAATTTTATAAAATGTCAATAACACAAAAACATATTTTCGACAATAGTGGTGTCTGTGTCACGAATAATATACACATATCAATGTGTAGGTTCAAGCATGTCTTTGCCAATTACTAAAAAATCAGTCGTTTTAATTAATTTCTTTTAACACCAATGGATTTTTTGGTCAATTTCATTTTCAAATTCAAATTATAATTTCACAAATAAGTAAAAACGTACTTTATCCCTAAACAGTTTTGATATGTGTAATTAGGGTGTTGGTGCAATGGGCTCACAAAATTTCACAAAGTCGAAGAATACTTGTGCCAAGTATTTTGTTTTTAAAGTATCAATCGGCTTTAACTCCAGAAAATATTTACACTGCAATTTAAGTCACTATAAATTGACAAGCAAATGTAACAAAGTTCGTTCGTTGTTCTTCGACGCATTCTCATTCAGTGAGAGTGCATTCTTTCGGTGGTGGTAAAATACAATGAACATTTGCATTTTGAACATACGGAATCGGAAAACTCTCAACATAGGTTTCAACGTTTATTTGTATGAATTCATACAGTAAATCCAATATATAAAGATTTTTTTTACTAATTTTCCGATCCCGATTTATAATAGGAATAAATCATTCTTCAAAACAAAACAGTGCATGACTTTGACAATCATGAAATGTAGTAAGTACAGTCAAGAGCCAACAAGCTTGATGTTTTTGACCGTTCTAATTGTAAGCGTCAGAGTTTATTCTGAAGTTCAAGCTTCGTCAAACTTGACGTGCTTGTAGAACCTATATGTTTGAACTTCCGTTCAATAAATTTCAAATACTATTGTAATGTAATAAGCAACTTCATTTGCTTTTCATATTGCTCTTATAACACAAAAGGCGTTCTTTAACCATAATAAAAAAATAAAATAAGGTCAAGATAGTGCCCGAGACAAACAATACAATATACAATTATAAATACGCCACTTTGTGTTCTAAGTTTTAACATGCGATTGATAGTACAGCGGGTTTATAATCCGTCTTGTTATCTATTCGAAATACGGCTGAAATTGATCAAATTGTAAGACAGGATACAATGAACGCTCCGTACTATGACAAACGTAATAGACATAAATACACAAAACAAAAATATCCCATGCAAAATATATAAAAATACAAATAAATAAATGCACAATATTTCAACATGCAGTAAAAAAATAACAAACAAGCAAAATACCTTTTACCCGAAGGCACCAAATAATACATAGACTAGAAATTTTCATTTAAATACTGCTGATAAAAATAAATAAAATTATTAATAATAAATTGTAATATGTAATAGAGGCGGGGTTAAATATCAGGAATAAATTTATAATAGAACTATATGATACATTTACAACATTTGCCATTTAAAAGCATTACGTAATTAGTCTGGCCAGCGAAATGTGCCACAGCAACGTTTAAAAACAAGTCTAAAATGTCAAATTATATTTTTCGTAAGGGAAACAATTTTTGAATGTCAAATTGCGATTTTTTTATTGTTCAGTCCACAAATTATTATTCAAAATAAGAAGGGAGCTGAATTATCTACGGCAAAAAGTAAAATGTCGTCGAAAGAAAAAAATATTTTCTCTAGAATTAAAATTATCGATATGAATTGAACTCGAAACAAATTACGGCCCCTAGTAATTAATTATTTATGAATTAGTTTTATACGCAAACAGTAACTTTGCTACTAAAGTGCAATATTTGAAAACAAACTTTTTGAAAATTCCCTTTTTTAACTAGTGTTACGTTAACCATCCGAATAATTTTTGAAATGGTGAAAACTTTTCAAAATATTTTTCCAAAAAGGCTTTAGTATTTTCTTAAAAGTATTGGAAAAACGTAACACGAAATATTTTCGGATCTTTTTCTCTAAAAAATACAGTTTATTGAATATGGATATTTTTTCTAGAGCCAACACTCTATTAAACTAATAATAGCAGCTACTTCTTATCATATTATAAACACCTGAACCATAGAACTAACTCTAAGACTAAGGGTCGTATTCCAGAACTGTGCTCAATGCTCAAGTCAGGATTTGAGCAGACTTGAGTATGATTCCAAGCACTGGAAATACGACCGATGCTTTAAACCATACTCAAATCCTGACTTGAGCATTGAGTAGAGTTCTAGAATACGACTCTTAAGTTATAAAACGAACGTTGACTTCGTTTTGTAAGTACAAAAACTTGCTAAACCCGCCATCTTTTCTACGTCCAAGTCAAAGTTCGTTTTATAAATCTCAGCCTTAGTCGGACCCGACCAGTTAAATACAACAATAAACGAAACTGTTGCAATACTTTGCGCTGATAGCTTCAATTAGTGTTAACAGCTTATAAATATATTTTTTAACTTGCTGCCATCTTGTGCACGTTTCGTTAGTCAAACTCATAGTAGAAAAATAATATACATATTTTTTCTAACTAGCCTTTAATAAACATCGAAAGCAAAACAAAATGTAAATATACTACTACTACTAATATAACATATTAAGGCAAAAGTTGACAAGGATTTGAAAGAACATACTTTTTGAACTGACCATTTGAAAAGTCAACAAATTGCGCTAATTTTTGAGGTTAAAAATTATATTAACTGTCAGCCTTTACCATTGGTTGCAAAGTTGCACAGCCACTTCCAGTTAATAATAATCAAGTGTTCTTTGTATTGTACGATATTTTTGTAAAAATTATTTTGAGATAAAACGTGATTATTATTCGCCGGGAGGCAGATGTTCTAAGATATATAAAATAGATAATGATTGCTACAATACTACATTGCTACAATAACGTTAATTCGCACGGACTCAAATTAATTTTTTTAAGGATTTTTTGCATTCAGTAAGAAAAGGAAACAAGATTTAATTTATATTTAAAGGTACCAACTTCTGAAGATCTTCTAGTCGTCCATGTTCATAATTTCGAATCGTGGATTTCTTTTGAAATTCGCATTCACATGAATGTCGACTATTTTATAAAATGTCTTTTGTTCTTTTCTTACACAGATACATTTTACGATCGCACGATGTGATACCAACAAATAGTGAATAATAAATAGTTTGTATTAAATCTAGGTAAATGGGGACTTACCTAAACAGGAATGTTTCTCCGGTGCCAAAATACGCCTGTCTGTTTCCACGTTCGTCCTTTTGGTTCCTCTCCAGCCATCGCGTGGAACAGTACGCTCCAAATACCTGAAGACAATTGAAGATTCTACCTTTAGTTTTGTTTGTATAAGTAGGGTTACATTGGCGCAGAAGTTTGTCCACTTAATATAGACGTCTCTATTGAAATGTTCATAGACTTAGGCTAAATCTTCCTAGGAATATTTTGGCTCGTATCTAGTTTGTACGTTACACAATAACCATGAGGTTGACCATAAAGTTCATTATGTAATATCGTTACAAAAATTCACTTCCATTCCGTTCCGCCGCAATATAAATTGAGCCTTAAGGTACAGTAAAATAGGACCTGCAGTCTGTTCAGCACATAGAGTTGTCACATTATTAATTTAGACATATCTATAGGTCGCAAATTATTTGAAAAAATATAAGAATATTCATAATTGAAATAAACTTTGTCAAAAACTTACACTTTAATTATTTATTTATAATACCAAGTGAAGGAAAGTGCTACATTTGTATGAAGCTAAACTACTTATTATATTATGGTTAAAGGCTCAATGTAACCCTCACCAGGAAATTAGTTCATTAGATAGGGGACCATCCTATACTGCGTTATCTACCACTTGAACGGCAGTTGAGAAAGGTATCAAGAAGTCCCGACAAGTAATAGCATAATTATTGCCAGACAATTACACCAATTGCCTAGTCTCAAAAGTAGGAAATCTCTTTACTGTAAATACCAGAACGATGGAATTAACTCTGGGGCACTACAGTCTGTCAGCAAAATGACATTTATAGGGTTACTAGTTTGCACATTTTTCAAAGTTTAAATAGTTATGTAGTTGTTGTCGATAGTTTTATCGATAGATTGCGAAAGAAAATAAAATTTTGCCAAAAATGACTGAATTGTGAATGTTACGACGTTCTAGTGATTACTACTTGCGTTATTGCCTTCTTTATTCTTATTTTGACAGTTAGCCTACTAGTACCGAGATCAATTTTTATTCATATAGGTACATTTTAACAAGAATAGCCTTATTTGATTATATTTATCGAATTAAAATAAAAAAATTAATATATATCTCCTCTTTTTATTTTTCATAAACATAGTTCTAAATCCAGTGTATGTACGCATGAACTTACAAAGATTGACAATTCAAATGAACTTGTGCTCAGTAATTGGATGAATAATGTGTTGAAGATGATTCAAATGGAACAAAATTCGGCTATTTATTCCATAAGCGTGATCAATCTTCAGTCGATAGGCGAAATAATATTTATCGACTACAATCACTATTACCGGAACAACTAAACCAGAACAATTATTTTTCTCAAATTGGTCAAATAAAGAACGAAAACCTAGTAGTTTCTAGAATCATTCTTACCTCGTTATTGCAAGTCTTGATCATAAGCAACGTAGGCTCATGGTGTTCTACGCGCACGAAGAACGTGGTCAACGAGCACCCGTGCTCCTCTGTCGTGTACAGCAACACCGGCTGATACATCGTGATCCTCACCGGCAGCCATGACCACAGCGTGAATAGCTGCAAGCATTTTGGGAAAGTAAGTCGACTTGTTTTTAATTTTAATTCTATTGGAAAGACGTTTTAAAACCTAACAGCCTTCAAGTCATGCAAATGTCACTCCTTACGGATCTATGTATGTCGACACTATTTTCGCGTTTAGATGCCACGCGTGACAATAAAAATAAGTAAAGGCGCCTTCGAATTGACGCGAATAGAAGCGCTGCACAGCCTTTTTTTTACCACTAAAATCGGACATGTCCCTGTTAACACAAGAATAAGAGAGAACGTTTTATTTTTAATACACGAGTATAACTCCCATGAATCTCACTACAATAGTTGGAGAAAACTTCGACCAAAGTTTATGTCCCGTACTTGATATTTTTTGAAAATAAAATTCTAGAGACCAAATTGTTGCAACCGTGTAGTTCGTTAGATTGTATTTTGAAAGGCCTTACCTGTAGGCATATTAAGAACGTTATTTGAGCGCGCTGCCACGTATAGGCTGCGAGTAAACCCTTTTAGTTATTTTTCTGTTTAATTTAATTTAATTCTCTGGCTTTCTTATATGTTAATAGAGGCGGCAACTTGCTTTAAAATCTAGCCGCATAAAGACTAATTCCACAAAAAAAGCAAGTTCTAATGAATAATTTATGTTGTGGTGAGAATGTGGCAGTAATTTTTAGTTCACTAATTGTGACTGCAAAAGTGGCGCACAAGTCACGACAAGCACTCTCGTACATTTCTACATAAGTTTTGTTTATAGTGACCCTCCCTACCGACACTTACGGTATACGATAAGGGCTGTATAACCTGTGCAAGCAGGCTTGCATATGCACCTCATCAGTCAGGTCCTGACCCCAGATCAACCCTTGGGTGAGCTGTCCCGGATGCATGTACAGCGCTCTCCCTATATCTCCCTGTCTGGAGGACAGGTACGCACATTTCCCGTTACGTATTGCGCAACTAACGGTTGCCATCGCTAAGCCGTTGACTCTAAAGACAGTGGCGTCGCAACTGCGCTTCCAAATATTATACTAAAAGTCGCGCGTCTGAAGCGCTACTATAAGCATCTAATCTGAAGGCGCCCTAAGACATAGATACGTAGTTTGACATAAAAAAAGGTAATAATTCGAAACTGTTAATTTAAATCCTGTTGACAAATATTGAACTACGACTTGCTAATTCAGCTGTTTGTCCAATAACGTATTTAGAATGTAAAGATATCACTCTTCAAAGGGAATTTAAGGAATAATCCAAATTACTTCTACTTAAAAGTACTAGCGGCCTGCGCGCGAGTTCATACTCACGGATGACACCAAGAACAATGTTCGTTACATAATTAGCTTGAGTTAGGTTAGTCTAGAAACGGTAAGAGCCGACAAGTTTATTCTTTTTGACATGTTTGACTGTGGAAATGTACGTTGACCTTAGAAAAACCACTGGGCTCCAAAATCTTGCAGTGGTTCAATGTACCATCGAACTCTTCCGAGACACAACTTCACGTGTGCAATCAGCTATAATTACAGATTCAGATGAATTCAGATTACTTCCGTTAAGAGATGGCACACTAAGACGAGTAATATTATAATAATAATATCTATACAAAGGCCTATCCCTTGGACTTCCACCTACACGTCCGCCTCGGCTTATGCCCTGCCAACGGCCATCTTATGGCATCCATTGAGTGGCACAACATTCATTATTTTAGTGTAGTTCTTTTTGAATATGCTAGATTGCAGCATAATGACAACGGCGCTGTTTTAACAGACCTTTATATCTTGCACCACTATTGTCCGGTATTGAACTATATGTTCATCGAAGAAACATAATGAAAAATTATGTACATATTACTTATTCGATCTAGAGTAAAATCAAGTCGAAGTAACATATTGTCGGAGTAGCGTCTGTCGAAGTTCAATTTTAGAGTCAGTAAAAACATGAATAAATATCGTAAATATAATAATTTTATTATAATATGCCTGTAAAAAAATATTTTATTATCGCAAAAAACAACTTGTCAGCCAGTTTATGGTTATCTTTCTATAGATTGTTAAGATGCAATCAGTTATAAAAGTAATTCTATAGAAAAATTCAACGAACAATGTTCATATACTCACGCGCAGACTACGTATACTGCATAGCAGTAACAAAAAGACGGCACAGTATTAGTGGTGTCATTAGTAGACGACTACAGGTGCCAAGTGCGTGTGCGCAGTAACTATACAAGTAAACAAATTGCTACAACGATTTTACACTTAAGAGACATGCACATTACTACTTCTACAATGACATCTAAGGAATCATAACGTTCGTTAGAAAAAGTTAGAATTGACACTTCAATTGAAGTATTGCTATCACAAACTCGAATTTTTTTTGCCGAAATAACTTTTGCTCGAATTTTCATTACACCGAAAACCGAATTATAACAAAACCGTTGTTCTTTCAGGAAATGTTGGATGTTTATACCAAAGACAAGATTAGGTTCGGTTAGGTTAGGTTAGGTTAGGTTTAAAAGAAAAAAACATTTTCCACTCAAAATCACTTTGGTGGTTATGAAAATTCGAGCAAACGTTATTTCTGGAAAATGTCGTTTCGGACTAACTAGTAACCGGCAAATATTAAGCTCGTCGCCTACCAAAGAAGTTAGTTAACAACCGATAAGGGCTTCCGTCATTTTCACTAAGCAGTGACGATGTTAAAAATAACGGGATCTTATTCGTTGTTTAATCCGTCACGCATGCACGTACAATCCTTAGAGACACATGGTTCCCCTAACGAATTTGACACCGCGTAGCGTCCTAAAGCCACACGGTACCTCTAAACCGCAGCAGCTGCACTTTAAAATCAGGAGGAGGTCTTCAATTCGACGGCCATTTATGAACCGATTTCGATGATCCTTAGAATCCTTAGATCCTTAGAGGGTACTTCAGTAGTGGTCCCATTTAAATTTGAGGAAAATATTCCACCACTAAGAATGGCAAACTAAGGGAAGAATCCGGCTTTATGCACTTTCCGGTAACCGATTTCGATAAATAGATGTAAATGAACTTGATAAGTAGTTATCGCAACAAAAAAGAAAAAATATAGTGGAATTGACAACCTCCTCCTTTTTTAAAGTCGGTTAAAAAGTTATTTGTTAAAATCGTTACGTTCGCACATATGTCATTGGCACGCATGACGGCTTAAACAAATTTTTCTTCTTGGATTTGTTTCATAGCGTTATTTTCTTGAGCTCCGTCTTAATATTTGCAAAATACATAATTTTGCATCAAGTAGATGTTACCGATACAAAAAAACACTTTGTAACTTCATGAATTTACAAAAAAAAAACGTCTGGTACAACACATTGTGACTAGAATTTAAATAACAACAAATTTCTAAATCGAAATATGAAAATAATTTTGGTTTTGTTGAAATTCGGGGTCACTCCCATGTATTGAATGTATTCGGTAATTTCATTATACATAGTTATTTGTAAAATAAGACTACATCACTAACATTAAATACAACAAATTTTTTTCCATGTCTTTTTACAAAACATTAGTAGCAGTAGAGCTCCTTGTGAAAGTGTTCGTCCAGGGAAGTATTGCCAGCTTACCTATTTCTGCCGCCAAGCAGTAATGTAAGCATTACTGCGTTCCGGTTTTGAAGGGTAAGGGTGCTGGTGAAATTACAGGCACACACTTGTCAACTTATATCTTATGGTGCAGTGGCAGTGCTCCTAAGAACTTTGTGATTCAGAGCATTGAGTGGCACTGTAACTATTAAGGACAGGCGTGTCGCTTACCACCAGGCGCGCGACTTGTTCGTCCCATCACTTATTATTATTAAAAAGTAGTAAGTTGTTTAGCAACGCTTCTCGCGTGCTATCATTCAAAACAACAAATGTTGGTGGTAGATGTTTTTTTTTGCTACTTCACAGAGTTATTACCGTATAGGACGCCTCCACACTATTAATTATCATGCAGTATTTAGAAACGCAGCTGTAGCGCTACAACAGCGCTTCTAAAAGCGTTTAATTTGAAATCGCCTTTAGAGCAATTTAATTCGTTGTTATTTTTGTACAAAAGTAAAATACGAGTATGAGGGATTATTAAAAATCATGGAACAAAAATTGTCGTTTATGAATATTATTTTAGTAGAATAGTAACAAAGTCCTGCGAGGTTTTTACTATTTTACAAATAACCGTATATAATGTTAGATCTCCGCACAAGCACACCGAATTCGCACTTACTCTAGCGCGCTATATTCAGACACTTTTAAGAGGGAGCAGAGGAAAAATTCTTAATCTTCGATTTGATTTTAGAGGGGTATATCCACTTTAAAGTTAAAAATAAAATATTGTATGAGTAACTACACAATATATTCAAGCATAGACATTAATCAGTAAATCAAATCAATAAAGTTTCCTCGACAGATAAAAATCACGAAATGACCTCTAATTTTCACATTTTTTCGATTTATCCTCGAAATGCTACAGGTTATTAGGACAAAAATTAGATAATTATTTATATTTATGCATGATCGACAACTGTGACTACGGATTTTTTTAACCCCTTCAGTTTTAGAGTTATTCCGCTAAAACGAATTTGGTACTTTTAATGCGCAAAATTCAACATCTCCTGTCCCATGTCACGCGAACTTCAGGCATATATTTGTTTCACAAATTTGGGCGGAGCCAACGTCAAACTTTTTTGGCATGAGAGCTCTTAATGTAACTAATATTCAGCTAAGTTCTCCGCAATTCTGCAAAATTACCATATTATTTTTACTTACCGAGTTCTTAGGTTTTCACGATTGTTACATATTGGAAATAAAACTATTTATTTCACGGGCTCAAATCGTATTAATATAATAATATATTTGATTTTTCAAGCAAACCTACGTTTCGGGTCTTTTACAGGTTCCATAGTCACTGCTGAGATGGGTACAGTCATCGACCAATTACTATGTCTAATATTAATGAATAGAGATACGCAAAAAAATGATTCATTTCTATTATTCTTGCTTGCTCATGTACAGGGCCGGCCATAGGGCGAACAAAGTGGCCTCTCCAAGCGCCAAATCCCAAGGAGGCGCTCCTTAAGAAAAATAAAAAATTCTTCACTTTTCGATATTTTGCTTGCAAGCGTGGCTATTATGTGAATGACCTCATCATATAAGCAAGCAGTGCCACCGAGCATGGATGAATCGAAAAATTTGCCAATCTTAAGACCTTGTCGAGACTTCCAAGTTCCATGTTTGAAAGGGCAAGGGGGATGCTATTGTTGGATCTCGCATGATTCTAAAACTACCCAGGGGCCGGCCATTTAAGTGCGAGTTCGGTGTGGTAATGTCGTCAAATTACTGTACGATTTTACGTTAGTTCTAGTTTATAATTATATGTACTCTGTACTTATATTACATAATCAACCGATAGGCACCTATGGCTGAGTTCTTTATCAACGTCTCCACCTGTATTTAAAAATGACATCATTTTCGTGTTAACTCAGTACATACACTACATTGTGCTAACTTATATCTATATACCTCACAAAGACAATATTGAATAAAACTATCTTTTTTTTCATGACACATAATTAACTACATTACCTACGAATTACAGTGTAAGTGCGTATTAATTTAACTAACATTCCTTACTAACTAAATATTTAGTCTACATCCAACAATTAAATAGAAAAAAAATCCCTCACAAGCGACCCGTTTTTCTGCCACAGTGTATTCGCCCAGTCAGTACACCCGCGTACAATTTTAGTGGGACATTTCTTATTGATGCAATCGTAAAGTTTTGGCGCTGTACCAAGCGACCATTAAAATTATGTATATACAACAGTAATTGTTCGATAGTAAATCTCTTTGGGACAGTTTTAAAATAGCATTTATAAAATGCTTTTGTTATAATTAGGTAACCATTGGGAATATACCTCTAGCTCAATTTACACTGCCTTCAGTTGAATTCTCGCGCAGTTTTGGGAGTTCCCGCATCTATTTTGGACGTTACACCGTTGCAATAAAGTTCATTATGCTATATACGATTTCGTTACAAAAATTCGCTTCCATTTCATCCCGTGGCAATATAAATTGAGCCTTACGTTTGTCAGAAAGTGATAAGGGAACTGAAAAATAAAATTTAAATCGAAAACTTTTAATGTCCACATGCACGAAATTAAGTACGTCTTAAACATGCTTAAATTGATAAGACACTCTTAACACAATGTATTAAGCAATTTGTTTGAACTTATGAAACTTGTAAATATCTATTATAGATAACTAATGATTACTGTAATTTTATATTTCTAATTATATATTTTCTTTAGTATCTCATTGGTTAACATTAGATTTTTAGTGATGTATACACCTGTAGTGACTTGGCACCTTGTATAGTGAACCTGTGTGTATTTTTTTAAAATATTGTTTTGTGTTAAGTTGATGGTGTATCTTGAAATAAATAAATAAATAAAAGTGTCTTGGCAACCATTGGTTTAATACATACTTAAGTTTAGTGTAAGTGGACATTAGACTATAACGACGATATAGATATTGAGTAAAAAACATTAAAAAAAATTCAGAACTTCCTATGCTGATGTTGCAGAAGGAGTCCCATAGCGTCCTTTTCCTCACTAACTGCCGTATCTGACAGTTTGTCGCATTTGAGACAATACGGTCTTAGGGTGACACCAGACTAGTTAACACGGAATCGGCTTTAGCCGTTGCAATTAGAGCGACAAAGACGTCACGCGTTTCGCTTCCTTTCGAACCACCACCGACGCGAAATGTACGCCTTTTACGCTCTTATTACATGAGCATAAAGATAAATGTGGTCTCCCTTTCTCAGCTTTCAAAGAGAAAGTTCTCCACTAACCGCCGTTTCCCTTTTCCATATATGAATATTACTGATTGGAAGAATGAGATTGACACGGGCTGCAGCTCAAGATGTGAATTGCCAAACGTTATTTACGATAGTTAGCCAGGAGAGAGACGATAACATCAGGTATTTGTTGTACACAATAATCCGTGAGGTAAAACTTGGCCAATAAGTGTGCATCAAAGAGAAACATCCCACTGCCCTAACCCCTATCACCATACTACAACCAAGGTGAGGTTACTTGGGTCACCTTCTGGCGGAGTTCAGACTGATGTTGGTGCTGGTCCTTGAACACCGCGTTAGGGAATGGGAACCACATGGCCAGGTGGGAGGAGCGCGGGCTCTGGAACACGCGTCTTCCAATTGATGGATCAAGGAATTTGGTTGCAACCCTGGTACGTCTGTTTGCACAGTGGTTTTTAGAGACCTCAAGTTTCGAACAATTTGTCGAAAACGAAATATTTAATAATCGAACTTGATAAATAACTTTTCTCCGATAAAATTGTATATTACGTAATTAATGGGGCGGAATTTCAGAATAAGGCGCGATGCCACCATTTAATCTGATTAAAAATAAAATTCACCGCTATCGTAGCCGTGTTGAAAACATTCAAATGATCTGTCAGTTACTGTAGTTTCTACAGAAATTAGCGTCATCATACCACCAGTCGTAACCACGAATCACTGTTCTGACGTCAATGAGACATATCGACAAACTCAAAATATCATGAGTCCTGGAGCTGGCGCTGTTGCAATGTTGCTAGTAACAATGGTAAGTGACACGTTATTTGAAGTTTTTGGGGAGCTATCAATATTTGACTTCCTTAGTACATTTACCATGAGTTCACGGTGTTAATAGTCAATAGACTGCGTAAAACATATGACCATTTTTTTAGGTGAAACAATTTTTTCTTACAAGAAGTTGCACGTTTAGGGAACCACTACATTCGGAATCGTATCGGCGGCGGTCCGAGCGAAAGCGAAACACGTTAAAGCTTTTTCTAGCCGAGTCTAGCTGATTCCGCGGTAACCAATGTGGTGACTCCCTGACTGACTTCTTGTCATTGAAATTATATTGAATGGTGGAAATGTTGTCATGTTATATCATGACCCATGTTTTGAATTTAACAATTATATTATTATATTCAATAATTGCAGCAATAATTTTAGGTAACTAATTCAATCATGTTGTGATTGATCCAATTAAAGAGTGAGATTAAATCCATTAAAACCATTTAGTCATAAGAGTCAGTTTTTTCCCCGTAGAGGTACTACAGTTAAGAACACATCAAGTTGACGCTTTGGAATAGAATTTAATTAAATCACCATGCATTCCATCAACGCTGTAAACAGCGCCCCCAGCGGTCACAAACTAATTGAAGTTGTCTAGCATATTTTGCATAGAAACCACCAACCTTCAACACCGTAAACATGGAAGAAATATATAGATTCGTTCACCTGCACTTGATTTGCTCCTTTTTAATAAAAAGTGACAGGTATTTATCGTTATCTGCATGTTCCATCATTAAACCAAGCGATTGCACAACAGCAATGCCAAGTCTACATCGAGTGGCGTACGGTCGAAATTTAAAACTACTATTTTCGGAGAAAGAAAGAAAATAATATTTATTTACTTTCATTTTCTTATGATAAATATCTTTATATTAAACATTTTTTCCTTGAGCATTTGTCGAGTTGTGCATTTCAAAAAACCGATGATGATATTTTTTGTAAGTAAAAAACGGTTCCCTGGACATTATTTCTACTAATACTTAAAACTGTGTGCGTAAATCAATCAGAAAATATTTCATCGTCAAAAAACGTTTTTATACAATAAAACTGATGCGTCACACATTTGATTTTTAAAAATGGCAAGCAAATAAACAGTGTACAATGAAATATAGTCACTTATGGATGGATACGTGGTGTTAAAGTCGCCGAATAAAAACTGCACTATCACGAGTCTTTTGAAGGACACCAAATCATAATCCTCAAAAGGGATCTCATGTCACACTATTCTATAGTCATCTAAATGCCTAATGTGGTGGTACAAAGCCAGTAAATAGACATAAATACATTCATAACATCGTCAACCGAACAGAATAAACATAAATGTACAGATCTAGCCGCCATGCGTTCTAGCTTACGATACTTACTTACCATAAACGCAAATAAAAATTCAAGCAACGTCGTTCATTACAATCCGTCAGATCTAGATGCTTTGTAGTGCTTAATCATATTTGTGGGACGGAATTGGGGCAGACTTTTAAGAACATGGGAACACTTTGTTTCAGTTGGTTAAATATTTTAACCCTGTTAATGATGTTGAAGTAACTTTACAAGAAGCGATAAATTTACTGGCAAAGGCCGTCTATTCCTAATATGTTGTATTATTTACAGTATAGACGTTTCTTTTACATGTAGATAGATTCTTGTTTTGTTTTTACAATCTTTTTTAACGAGTACTACTGATATTTGGACACAGATGCGTCCATCATGGTCAAGATACGACAGGAGCAGACGTAACCGAATTAACTTTGAATATATTCTGTTAGATTGCGCAGTGACCACTGAGATAGAAAGGTAGTAAAAGTGTCAAATGATCTGAACGTTAAAGTCAAAAAAAGTTTCCATGTCGAAAATGGACAATTTGATCCAAACTATGTACATATCTCATAAATATTTGATAGAACAACAACAATGTCTTAAGGTACATTTTTCAACAGCTTTCAGTTTCAATCTAAAGTGCACCGTAACCTCATTGTCTAAAGGTGTATTTATCTCGATGCACAATCAGGAGCTTTACACTTTCGATTTTGGACCGTTATTTTCGCCATCAGCTTACGAGTTGACTTTCAATAATAAGTGTCAAGTTAACTTACTGCTGACCCTGAATATATGAAAAAATTTTAAGTAGGCACTCTGAAAATATAGTTTAAATTTACTACTTTGGAAATTTCAATGTGTACAATTTGGTGGTTAGTCACTTTTACTGACTACACGCGGTTAAAAAACCCGTTAGTTATCTCAATAGTCACCGCAAAAAAAAATATTCTCGCCCCAAAAGTTTAGCCCCAAGTCCGTCCCAATGTTCACAATCAAAGCTTCAGAGGTCGCAAATAAAAAAATAATAACACCTAGTGTCAAGCGGTGCTAAACATCGACAAGGCTGTTATCTTACTTCGCTCTGGTCTAGAATCTGGGACTTGATAGCCTGAATGGGGTACACGCCCATGGAAAGGGCGCGCGGACCTGGAGAGTGCGCGCCCTATAGAAATCACATGGTTAGCACACAAGGACACTTCGTCACATGCCACGTCACTAGTTATTAGGTCTTCTCGGAATAGTTTTGATATGGCACCGTATATAGGACATATATTTGAAAAATGGGAGAAAGAAAGCTCACAAAAGAGAACTTTACCAACAATAGTGCTATTTCATAGTGCACCATGAAATTTAGACGTCAAGTGTACCTAAGCGTAGGTTTAAGTGCTCATGCCAATTTGATTGTTACATTACTTAATTCAGTTAGTACTTTGAAGATTCTTATACAGGTTAAATTGTAGAGCACTTAAGTCACGGTATTGTTTCTATACAGTGTAAACACTACTTTTCAGTATTTATTTGACTAACGTGGTAATGACACCATTTTTTTTTTACAAAATTTAGCATATTTTAGTAAAATAATTATTGTAAGAAAAATTATCATTTACAAAAGTATATGAATTGTTATCAAAGTTTTGAGCTAACCATTCAGGTATAACAAAACATATTTTTTTAGCAAAAACATTTTTTTCTTTTTGACCACATCATATTCATGGCTGGATGGTCGTATCCAGCCGAATCGAAGAAATTTTTTCTTGGCGTTCGATTTTTGTATTAATCATTGAAAACACTTTTGTTTGAAAAATTATCATATTTTTACAAAATTTTTTAATGAAAAATTTTTTGGTGGATAATCTGAATGAAGCATTCAGTCAAATTCATGAAAGATAATGTTTTATTACGAAACAAAACCGTGATCCAAAGGACTACAATAACTCAACATTTCTTCTAAGAAGATACGGAATATTTCCAAGTAATCATATCTTAAAAGAAATCCTATGTGTTGGATCTTGTCTTTGGGGTACGGGTGTCCTATTACAGGTACCATTTCTCTCACAATGTAAGTCCAACCCATATGTGTGCTTATGCTAACATCACCACCATGGTGATTGGAAATAAAAGAATACTATTTAGTAAAATAAAAAAAAAGAAATTCGTATATGCCACATCAAAAGTATTAAAGCCGACACTCGACCACAATACTGGAACGAACAATAACAAAAATTGTCATCTATCCGGCCTCAATGTACGCCAACATTGTCTCCACACATTTTGTTAGTAAAAAATCATCCAAGCTATATTCATTGGTTGTTGTCATATTAAAAATATTACAGGAGTTTCTTCTCTTCTCGTAACGTCACACACATGCTGTTGAATAAAGTTGTCAAAGATCGTATAGTACAAGGAAATCACACTAACACATTAGACATTCAAAGCCTATGAAATGACTTCGGTTTATTCATGCCATTGCCAGAGACAAGAAATATTAAAGAAATAAAGAGAATGACGATTAATCAAAAGTAAAATTTTTTACAAAGGTTACCCTTGATTGCACGGTACAGTCATCAACACGAGTTCAAAATAAATTTCAAATACTGAAGAATAAATATTGACGCCCGTACACTGCGAAATACAAAACGCAGCCTTTTAAAAACGTTTACATATACATACGCCTTAAATATGACCTGTCCAAATAATATGCTAACACATCTGGCAATGGACCGTGGAATGTCGAATGAGAACATCGACAACACAACATGATTTTCACTACACAGATCAAAAATAACATAATCAGGTGATGAAACGTTATCTTACAAAATCGATTCTGTATTCGAATAACGATAAATCGATTAGTTAGTTGTGTTAATCGCAGTCGGATGGAATGAAAAAGCCAAGCCACGCCTAATTTCGTTTACGATACCATTTGTTTGCACGTGTCCTCAGACATCCTCTGCGAATAATAAAACAAAATGCCGGTATTTATTTTTATATGGTATTTCAATTTAAATGTCATGTGATTATAAAGTTTAGTTTTGCAGTTCACTAACAAATAATGCAAGGATATTGACAGTAAAAATGCATTTTTGAATATATTCTATTACTTTATCGTTATTAACCATTTTGGCTAGACGTCTGTCTGTCACAGGGCACAGACAATTGCGTTAATGACGTCACATATGCTATGGTGCTGAGGAACAATTTTCGCAATAACTTTCTTTTTTTATGTTGCTATACCTAATATTGTTTATAAACTGCAAACGCAACTCGTAATCCTTAGACGCTTAGAAAGAAATGTATAATAATTATTACATACATTTATGTAATATAATCTTGTCTGGTGCGTGCAGTGTGTGAAGTTAGAACGTTTTCGTGTACGTTAGAAAGCTAATTGTAAACAATAAATAGTATTGTAATATTATTTGTGTTTACAATATTTTTGTAGTGTTGTTGTCATATAATATATTTTGTAACAATAGAATTTATCACTGAATTCAATTGAGAACAGATTACGATGTATCAATTTCATTTTGATTTCGTCATCATTGGAATCAAAGCGAAAACAATCTGGCACAGACTAAAGTTTCACGAAGGCGCCATTTTGTTTTCGTCCGCCATTTTGTGTTCGCCTCTAATCCACGCCTTGAAAACTGAACCTTAGCAAATTAAATATAACAAATGACCAACATAATAGATAACAAAGCTTACCTCTCTAATAGTGAGGGTATGTGACATCATCTGAATGTTTACTTGTGACTGGCTGGTGGGTAAGTTGTCTGAGGATCGAGACTTTACGAGTCGCGAGCCCGTTATCACTTGCTTGGACTTCAACGTCATTTCTGTCTTTATAAACACTCTCGATATGTACTGTGAACTGTGGATTTGAAAATATTAATTTAGAAATCTAAAAATTGCTTTCAAACTGCTGAAGTGCAATCAAATAATCAAATTGATTCTGGGAATAAGTTGATCTTATGTTCATGACAAAAGCTGTCGGTGGCAGACATAAAACTAGATGGCAGTATCGTACATCTTTTTGTTGTATCCGTTGAAAATACGAAAGTAGAAATTGAGGTTAGAGAAAAACATATACCTTAAAGCACGTATAGTGAAGGCGGTGCGCAGGAGTTTTGTCGGCGTAACGGGCATGTTCCTACAGAACTTGTCGATGGCATGGTCAGCGCCGTTCTTTGTCGCCTCGGCGTACCACTCCGAATTCTGGTTCGACGAGTGCTTATGGAAGAGGATTAGGATCGCTAGCGCTACCCTGTAGAACACCTGGAAATTTTTCGAAAGAGTTTGTTTAAAGAAAAGCAAAGTTTAGTACTGGTATTCGCTTCAGGAATATGGACATCTAGATTAACGATAAGACGTTTTATATAAACGTGTATCCTTAAATGAATTGGAAGAATTTCTTGAAAAATATCCAAAAACTAACCTTAATGCCTTCATGGAAGAAACAGTCTAAAACTCGTACAAGATGCGGGAATGGCAAGGCAGCTAGAATCCACCATTGCCAATCAGCGTAGATCCGTTCTGGGCCAATGGCACCAGATAGTCGTGACAAGTGCTGTGCTGCTGACTTCTGCAAACCAGTTAAAAGAGTTTATGAGACGCGTTTATGTGTGATCTGAGTTCAGATTAGGCAAGGATTTCATTTTGTTCCTTCAGAAGGCAGTGGCAGCAATGTATTCCATGTTGTTTCTGAGAAGACTTACAGACTATATTAACCCTTCTATAGACATGACTCTATAAACCTCAACATCTTAGAAATTCAATACTGTACTTTCACTTTACTGTCTCTGGTACAATATCATTTCATTTAAACGGAATTCATTGTTAGAGCTCGACTCTGGCAATATTACTTCAACAAACCCGGAGCAGTAAAACAACAAAGTAAATAACATTTAACTGTCGTAAATTCACGTCTTTGTCATTCTGTGATGCAACGCGAGTTACGAGGTTATTTGCATCCTTATCGAGCGAGCAAGGTTCAAGAATAGTCGAGGATCGATTTTCCAGTTAGGTGTCGTTCACCCTAGCTGCATTACAATCGATTCGATAATAGGACTAGTTCCTTAACCCTTGGCCTTTGATAGCTGGGCTATTTTGAGGAGTTATTTACGTTATACTATAACAGCCTTTAACGGTGAGGTCGTTGAAGTTACGTTATGTGTTGAAAACCTGCAGTTCGATTTGTGTGAGATTGTCCACGTTAAAAGGGTCTAGAAGTTTCGCCTACTTTGACAATCTAATTACACTTTTGTTTATTTGTGCATCAAAATTATATCTAACTTCAATATCTTTAACATCCTCAAATTTCTTACTTCTTGTATCTGTACACTCTTTCGGACTTTTATCTTTAAGATCTTCTTTCCCATCGAATCTGTTGCCGAATCAGAGCTTCAAAATCATCTATTATCCCAATACTCTTGGAGCCTACTGCCATCGGTCATTTACCCACGTCCAACCTAAGAATATTATCGGTAATTTCTTGTAAATTATTGCGGCCTCGTCACGTGCCATGCAACGCGAAAGGGTTTATCAACAAAACAATTAATTTGACGTGTTTTGATCGTATTTTAGTCGCGTTATTGTTCTCTACAAGGTTTGTGTTAACAAATGGACTGCGAAAATACAAACTTGCTTTGAAATTATAAAATGAAGATCATTATCTAGTGTACGTTATAAAAATAAAGTAATTTTATTTAAAGACAAAACACGTTAGTACAACATCTTTTTATTTATCGTTGATACTACAGATATGATACAAGTGATTGTGATCGTCAAGTGACACAGGTCGTCATAGGTGATGCAGTCGTAGGTTTTCAGAACTTTAAGAAACTTATAAACCAGCTCCAAATAGGGATAAAATAAAGGGTCAGCAAATCGTTATTTCCTGCCTAAGTGCATTATAAAATTGCGTAACTCGCTAAGAAACCAAGCTTATCATGAATTCATGACCGTTGCAAATCTATGTTTTGTGGCATTGAGGTAATATTGGCAACGTTTACGACGCAGTTAAAACGAGTGGCGATAACGACGACCTACCTCACTGCGTCTTTATTGTGCACGTTGCTGCTACTGCACGGACTTTTGTTTGTAATTTAATGGTTCTGAACGGTACGAAATGTCGTGTTAGTTTCTCTTTTCTATGCCTTGTATTTGCAGAACCCTTTCCTTGGGCCACCATTGACTAAACCCTCTCGTTAGAGAAACCCGTGACACGTTTAATGGCTTGATGATAGTTTTGGAACTTCTGTATAAAAAAAATCAGCTGTTCGGACAATTTGTACAGAAGTTGATCGGAAATCAGAGGTAAGGTTCTTGCGGAAACTGGTTACCCCAAGAAATTTCACTCAAACGTTTTGATAATTCTTTTATTGTATATCCATACTCATAAATTTTATAGCTACATGAACATCACGAATGCATAAAATCAAACAGCACCTCGATTTTGGATGAACAAGACCAGTGAATAATGAAGCTCGTGAACTCGTGAACAGTTTTTTTTCTACGACGTCTAAAACACTAGCTTCACAAATTTATTGCTTGCACGTGCTGTGATTGCCACCTATTTGCAGAATCTGGGATTATTTGATTTACGTTTGGCCTGTTCGACGAATAAAAATTACCTTCAGAATAATACCACAGATTTATCGACTATTCAAATTGCTTTAGTCGTACGGCAACGGCACGTCTCCCGTTATGGTAACATGGCACAAAACATATAACCATTCTGAACCACGATCTATTTTCCCGAACGGTAAATTTGTATAAACGGTCGTCTTGTATTATCCTGTTTCCAGAGGCAGTGAATCTTCGTTGATATATGGGTGTCAAAGGATTTTTGGGAGGAAAAAAATCCAGAAAATTCGAATTAAATATTTCTTCAGCTATGAATACTGGCAAACACTCTGGTAGTTCTCCTGATGCAATGTAGTTGCCTACAGACATTTGCGATACTGACGAAGTACCACGAATACGTCGTCGGAAGTGGAACATAAAATCTGAGATCTCCTGAGATTGCGCTTTCTCTCCCTTGCACTGCAATGAATGACAGGTCGGTGCTGCGTACCTAAGCGTATTTTGCATACTTATTAAAATAAATTTCACGGGATTCATACAGATCCGTCGATCTACACAGACATATTTGGAAGGACGCTAAAAAGGTTGGATTATGATAACAACATTTATATGAATCATTGGCCACATATACTATATATGTTTAATTGATTTAAAAAAGTAATTCATTTTTCAAATTAAACGTTCTACGTGGCCACATGAATATTGTGGTTCATATGTATTTCATATGAATGTTATTCATATGTACGTTGCTGCGAGTAATTTCACAAAAAATAATTAAATATCAATTCAATACAAATTTAATAACAACTAATAGCGACATTCCAGCCAGGGCTGGTACCTGTAAAGTTACCTGACTGGGTGACGAAACACTTTCACAGATTTCTCATAGATGGCGCTACGACTAAAAAGTTGAAAACCAAATACAAAGATCCGACAAACAAGCACATAGAAAAATTCGTGAGGTCCGCTGGTTCGTTCCGAGGCTTAGTCGGCATAGCTTCTGGCACGGTTTGCTAGAAGACGTCGGTTTGAATCCGGCCGCATCGAGGGATTTTTTTGTGAGTGTTCGATCTTTGTATTAATAATTATAACAAACTAGTGGAGTAAATTCACAAAAAAATAATTGAATATCAGTTCAATACAAATTTAATGTACACACGCCAGCACATTAAGCTACACATTGACGTATCTTGTTCCGTTGCACTGGAGGCGATTTTCGAACAAAAATGTGTACTCTGATGTGCCGTTGTCCGTACAATGTTATTAAAATTCAACCATTCTTTTAGCGACTCTCTGAATTTATGTCCATGAATATATATGTATTGCAGCCAAATAAACTAGGATGTCTATAATACAGTTGTCAAACAAAACTTATATAGCTTAGTTAAATAAACAAATATATGTAATTGATACTTACGGCATACTTCTTAGCAATCTGCATGACAGTTTTCCAGGTGACTTCGTTGAGGAGCTTGGTCTGCGTTATGAACATCTTCTCCTTGGACGCCACCAGGCTCGCCATGCAGTGGTAGCACTCCTCCTCTGCAGAAGGAAGACTGCGGTTAATATTGCTAATATTGTAGCTTGCAGTATTGGGTGAGAATATGGAATTCATTAATTTTGATTACAGTATTGAGGAATTTCTTTCAAACAAATTTTAATTTTAATGGACGTCATATATTGTTTATATTATTGACGATCATATTATCCCTTGACATATCATATCCACAAATTCTATTTTAAATAGTAATATTGTTACATTGGTGTGGGCCAGCGAGAAATTGCGTACCTTGCTTTAAAAAACTGAAGATATTAACCATACCATCGATGTACACACGCCTGCACATCAAGCTACACTTTGACGTATCTTGTTCCGTTGCACTGGAGGCGATTTTCGAACAAAAACGTGTAGTCTGATGTGCCATTGTCCGTACATTTATGAGGTCTGTGTTTTGTAAAACAAAATCTAAGCAACTTTAATTAAGTCAAAACTAGATATCGTAGACATACAAGAATTAAGATAGAAATATAAATATTGACAATAGAATCATGTTTGTATTAGTACCCTAATTATTTAATAAATTACCAGAAAAAGAATTAAATTGTGAACAATTTAAAATTAAATGGCATAATTTGTTAGTTACTCAATGCTACTACAACAATGATGATTTTTTGTTTTATAAAATTTTTATAATGTTTTTATCGTGACGTTGGTGTAGTTAAATTGGATCATGTTGAAAAACGATGTGTCAACAAGACCAGTCTGAAAATCAGTACCGCCACAAGGATTAAACGGAGCCTGTTCCTTCCACGCACTGTTGTTGTTCCAACAAAATTGTTATATACATATTCTTTATTGCACCAAATAAATACAACAGAAATTTTAGATTAACAGAAAGTGAGCATGGACTTATCTCTAAAAGAGATCTCTTCAAGCGAACCCAGGCCAGTGAGAGCTAATGGTATAAGCGGGCAATAGCGTCAGAGAATAAAGATAAGAGAACGGACACTCTCCGGCCCCTCCCTAGTTTTAGATACCGCACCACGCCCCGCACATTGCCGGTCACATTGACTGAACGACAACAAGGTTGCCTACGAGCCGTTTTCGCGCGAAGACGGCTTTGATATTTGAATATAGTTTTCATTTATTCATTACGAAACTTGTACGTTGATATAAAACATCATTTTACGTTACTATTTATAATGGTCGTGAATTGTGCTGTGTACAGCTGTTTATCATAATTTTCCGAAAGATGAAATGAATTAAGTAAAAAAAACTTATGCCTGAGACTCATTCCGTTATTGTTTTCTTCATTTATTTACTGCAGAGTAATATAAGTATGTATAAACAATATAGCTTTTATTATATCAATATAATAAGACGCCATTACTTAGCGAATTTTCTATTGGTATTGCCGATAAATATTACGTAGGTAGTGAATATAATATCTAATTATTAACTAAACTTGGACAAGCAATTTTAAATACCTTGGTTACCTTACTTAAAAGTACATGTCCGAAATATAACATTTTAAGTGCTTTTAATATATTTTTTAAATAAATCTTCAATATTACTCTAGTTAGTGAATTAATGAAAAATATGATAACATATCGATATAAATACCTAATCGACATGTATAATTATTAGGATTATATTAATAGAATCATAGATAACAGATTCGCGTTAGAATTATCGCTATGTTGCCGCTCTGACCAAGTAACGTAATAGTGCGAGAAAGTAATGGATAACCCTGCCACTTCACGCACACATTTGCGCGTGTGCAGATAGCGCCTTGCTTTATGTAGTAGTAGTAGGTAAATAATTTTCGACCGTTGTATGGATGTCCGGGGTGTGATAGCGTGCAAGAAAGATATATTATTATGTTCTGTTCGTATTACTGTGTGTGGTAAATAAATGGTTTAGAAATGGTTTAAATGACATAAAGCGCGAGATATCTATGCGACATAGCAGTATCTCAAGGTTTATGTCGCTCTCACGCTAGTCTCGCCCTATCGTGCTAGCCTTACAGGAATAGGTAGATTTCAGTTTTGTTAGCGCCATTTTTCGGCTACTTATCGTCTAATAAGGATTCGTAAACTATTTATTAATTTAGTGGAGCAAAAACATCTCAAGTTTCTCGAAAGTTCGAAAATTTCCTTAAAAACAAAACTTCCTTACATATTACGCGAGATTGTCAAAAGTACGAAAAATGTAAGAAAACCCATTTGGCATCACCGCCCATTAATCCTATTTTATCTTGTCTCATCCCATTTCATTCCATTATATTCTATTTCATAAAATGAGAAGGGATATACCCCAATAGAATGTTGTAAGCAAAATTTAAATTCAAATTGTTTTGTAAAGAGAATATGACATTGCTGTTTTTCATATTAAATTTATTAACATAATTTAGTAGAACAAAATCACGCACGCGATGAAATACATTAATAAGAATAGTCACGCAACATTTTAAACGACAAAACATAAATATAACGCATAATAATATGACTCATTATATTAGAGTACGCCATAATTTCTATCAAAAGTCACAACTACAGGGTAAAGAAAATTTTATGGTAACCTACATGAAATTGTGTCAATATGTTCATTGATTTCTCACAGATGGCGCTACGGAAAAAAATGGTGAAAAACCGAAACAAAGATCTGCAACAAGCACACAGAAAAAAATCGCAAGGTAAGTCGGTTCGTCCTGTACCTCAGTTGAGAGAGCTCAACTGGTGAAGGCGCTAGGTCGGGTCTAGCAAAATCGAATGAATTTTTATACTAATTTTTATTTAATTTTTCCCCTTATCTTTTTATATAATAAACACAAGTAGTGGCGTAATCTCAAAAAAAAAAAAAAAAATAATGAAAATATGGTATTTAATTTTTTATTGAATTGATATTTAATTATTTTTATGTGAAATTACTCCACTAGTTTGTTATAATTATTAATACGAAGATCGAACACTCAGAAAAAATTCCTTCGATCCGGTTGGATTCGAATCGACGTCTGCTAGCATACCGTGCCAGACATTATACCAACTAAGCCACGGAACGAATCAGCGGACCTCACGAATTTTTCTATGTGCTTGCGACCTATCTTTGTATTTGGTTTTTCAACGACTTTTTAGCCGCCGCCATCTATGAGAAGAAAGAGAGACAAAATATCATAGATTTTTCGATGTAGGAGTCGGTGGAGACGTTTCTCGTAGCAGTAGAGCTCCTTGTGAAAGAGTTCTTCCAGGGAAGTACTGCCACCTCACATACTTCTGCCGTATTACCGCCAAACAGTAATGTGAGCAATACTGCGTTCCGCTGGGTAAGAGTGCTGATAAAATTATAGGCACATGGGACTTATTCCCAACTTATGTAACAAGGTGACGGGCGCACTGGCAGTGTCCCTAAATCTTTGTGATTTAAGCAGCTGGGTGACACTGCAACTCCGATGTGCCTCTTCATAAGGAGAGGCAAAGAGAGGCATGTCGCTTACCGCCAGGTGTACGACTTGTTCGTTCCGTCTCTTGGTATCATAAAAAAATTGACAAAATGCTCCAAACTTACAAGTCTCTTCTTTTTGGGTTGAGAATTGAAACCCAAGAAAATGTGTTTCCTATGCTGAATTTGGTTTATTGAACCCTAAAACATTATTGCATTCTATAAATAATTTAAAAAGTTTTGATTAAATTATTGGAAAGTAATAGACGGAATTCAAATTATTCCATCATCAAATCAATCTTGGAGGTGACATTAATAAATCTAGAGGTGTACACATAAGTGCAAATTAATTTAATTAACCGCCGCAAATAAGCGTTTTCCGATAATTGATATTTCCCATCAAAAACAGACAAAGCGAGTTAATACCACACTGTTCACTGTTGAGTGTGTATTGTTGAGTTGAGAATTAGAACATTGAGTGAAGTGCGGTAGTAACCAAGTGGGAGAAAGGTTGCTTTTCAATTGGTAAGTAGACCTAGAGTACCTTCGACTTTAAATCATTATAAGTGAATGTAGCAGTGCCTCTTGCTTTTTTATGTTATCAAGTGACGGGTACGAGCAAGTCTTGACCCTGGTGATAAGCGACACGCCTATGCATAGCAATTGCAGTGCCACTCAGAGCTTTAAATCGCAAAGATCTGAAAGGCACTGCCCACTGCCACTGCGCCAGTCACTCTAAGACATAAGTTGACAAGTCCCATGTGTCTGTAATTTCACCTATTTTTCATATTAAACAAAACCATTAGGTAAGAACCCTATCGAAAAAAAGTCAAAAACAGATTGTTACACAGTTCAAATATACTTCAATGAAAATAAATGGTTCAGAGCGCATTAGGTAACTAAATATAATTTTCCGCCACGTATATTGAACACTTTAGTAGTGCTACCGAACTTGAAAAGAGTAAACACACATAATGTTTTCAGTAGCCGCGTGTACGGTCGGAAATCACCGCACAGTATAAGCAAATGTTCAAAGTAAACTTGAGAAGCTTGAAAGCTGCACGTCGTGCAATTAGAGCGAAAAAGATACGCTTCGACTCGGACGAGGCGACACAGACCGGCAAGGAATCGGCGTCCTACCAATACTCCGATCACGCACCCGAAAAAGTTCGAATAGCTCTGAATGCGTACGCGTTGCGCTGACGAAAATTAGTTATTACATATTTTAGTTCAATTCCATTTTATGAATAATTTTAATTATTTTTTTTCGATTTTGATTTGAACAAGTCGACGTGGTACCAGTAGAAGTAAGCAGCGGTAATTGAACATCAGCTTGGTGGATGTAAAAATCTAAGTACAATATTTTAAAAGATTATATTGTATGTATGTTTACTACTATCGCGTGAGTAACCTGTTACTTTATTGAAAACTAGATGTACCCTGTACGCGTAGCAAAATGACACTGAAAGAAAAACCAGTTTGGCTTTTACGTAGCTGTCAGCAGTAAATACATTTTCAAACAAAAGAAAGTCACGTAGTGTAAAAGTGCATTTTTGCACGTTTGTTGAAACAGCTGACCCACCTGATATTTAAAAATGGTTAC